TTTTTGCAGACACAAGGTCTCTATAAGTTGCCCAGCATGGAAATGTTTTTTGTTTGTTTGTTTAACCGGTGAGGTCTCATAATTCACTGCAACCTAGAATTCCTGGCCTTAAGTGATCCTGCTGCCTCAGCCTCCTAAAGTGCTGGGATTACAGGTGTGAGCCACTGGGCTTAGCTAGAAATGACTTTTTATTTATTTATTTATTTTTAGAGAGACAGAGTCTTACTGTGTAGCCCAGGCTAGAGTGCAGTAGTACAATAATGGCTCACTACAACCTCTAACTCTTGACTTCCAGTAATCCTCCTGCCTTGGCCTCCCAAAACACTGGAATTACAGGCATGAAGCCACAAATGACTTTTTTTTTTAGACAGGTTCCCACTGTGTTACCTAGGCTGGAGTACAGCGGTGTTACCTAGGCTGGAGTACAGCGGTGTGATCGCGGCTTACTGTTACCTTGACCTCCCAGGCTCAAGTGACTCTCCCACCTCAGCCTCCCAAGTAGCCAGGACTACAGGTGCGCACTACCATGCCTGGCTGATTTTTGTATTTTTTGTCAAGACAACGTTTCACCACATTAGCCAGGCTGGTGTCAAACTCCTGAGCTCAAGTGACCTGTGCACCTCAGCCTCCCAAAGTGCTGGGATTACAGCTGTGAGCCACCATGCCCAGCCCACAAATGACTTTTTAAACAAGCATACTAGAACTTTAAAATCTAAGCAAGTATTGCCCCTCAAAACACAGAGGTTCACTTTGGTAGGCAGAGCCTCCTCTACTGACGTTTTTACTACTTAAAAAATATTTGGGGTCAGGAATGGTGGCTCACACCTATTCCTGTACATTGGGAGGCTGAGGTGGGAGGATTGCTTAAGGGCAGGAGTACAATACCAGACTTGGCAACATAGTGAGACCCCATCTCTACAAAAATAAAATAAAATTAGCTGGGCATGGTGGCAGGAACCTGTAGTCTCAGCTACTTGGGAGGCTGAGGCGGAAGGATCACTTGAGCCCAGGAGGTTGAGGCCAGAGTGAGCTGAGATCACACAACTGCACTCCAGCCTAGGGGACAGAGCAAGACCCTGTCTCAGCAACAACAAAGAATTGGAACTACTTGACCAAGCACGGTGGCTCGTGCTTGTAATCCCAGCACTTTGGGAGGCGGAGGTGGGCAGATCACCTGAGGTCAGGAGTTCAAGACCAGCCTGACCAATATAGAGAAACCCCATCTCTACCAAAAATACAAAATTAGCTGGGTGTGCTGGTACATCCCTGTCATCCCAGCTACTCAGGAGGCTGAGCCAGAAGAATCTCTTGAATCCGGGAGGCGGAGGTTGCGGTGAGCCAAGATCATGCCATTACACTCCAGCTTGGGCAACAAGAGTGGAACTCTGTCTCAAGAAAAAAAAAAAAACCCAGGAAAAATAATTGGAACTACTTTTTAAACTATCCCTGCAGGACTGGGTGCGTTGGCTCATGCCTGTAATCCCAGCACTTTGGGAGGCGTAGCGGGGCAGATTACTTGAGGTCAGGAGTTTGAGACCAGCCTGCCTAACATGGTGAAACCCTGTCTCTACTAAAAATACAAAAATTAGCCAGGCGTGGTGACATATGCCTGTAATCCCAGCTACTTGGGAGGCTGAGGCAGGAGAATTGCTTGAGCCCGGGAGGTGGAGGTTGCAGTGACCCAAGATTGTGCCACTGTACTTCAGCCTGACCCACAGCGAGACTCTGGAAAAAAAAAAATCTGTCCCTGCAAACACATTATCAGCTGCACCACAAAATCATTTTTCATACTCTACATAGAGGAAATGTTCCTTTTTTCTACAACTTTTTTTTCTCTCTGACTCCACAATGCTTTTCAACTTAATTCCCCTTTCCTGAGCCCTTTAGGACCCCACCTTCCTTTATAGATATGCTGGACGCTAAAAGACCTCAGAAAGAGAAGCTGAGCAGGGTAAGAGAAATAGAGAAAGCAAAACCTTATTCAGAGCATATCTGTAACTTATTTACTGCCAATCTAAGAACTCTGTGTTGATAACATCAAAAATTATTTTTTTAAAATTTATATTTATTTGTTTATTTTTTGGAGACAGTGCCTCACTCTGTTGCCCAGGCTGGAATGCAGTGGTGCGACCTCTGCTCACTGCAACCTCTGCCTCCCAGGTTCAGGTGATTCTTGTGCCTCCTGAATAGCTGGGATTACAGGCACCGGCCACCACGCCTGGCTAATTTTTTGTATTTTAGTAGAGACGAGGTTTCACCATGTTATCCAGCATGGTCTCTAACTCCTGAGCTCAGGCGATTAGCCCACCTTAGCCTCCCAAAGTGCTGGGATTACAGGTGTGAACCACCACGGCTGGCCGATCATCACATCAAAATTAGCTGAGAACAGTACAGATCAACTAATTATAAGCTAAAATCATGCTACTCACTTTTAGGAGGCAAAGAAAGAAGAAGCATAAGTGGAAATTAGGGTATGTAAGTCAAATTTAGAAGAATTCTATTAGAATAAACACCATTAAAACGGAAGATTTAGCTGGATGGTGTGATGGAAGTAAGCTATAACAATGCCACTGCACTCCAGGCTAGGCGACAGAGTGAGACCCAAGTATAAAGACTGGCTATGTGTTTTGAAAGAAAATGTTCAACTAAGTAGTGCACAAACTAGGGAAAAAATTCGGGAATAGAACAAGTACACAGTGAAAATTTAGGTGTCCTTTCACTCTGTACTCTTGCTCCCCAAGTCTTCTTCCCAGGTAATTTTTAAACAATTTTTTTGTGTATAGTCCAGGGATATTCTGTATATATGCAAGCTGTTTCCTTGATAGCCTGATTTCTGATATTTACTTTTTACTTTTTTTTTTTTTTTTTTTTTGATATAGAGTCTCGCTCTGTCGCCCAGGCTGGAGTTTAATGGCGCAATCTCGGCACACTGCAACCTCCGCCTCCTGGGTTCAACATGTTCTCCTACCTCAGCCTCCCAAGTAGCTGGGATTACAGATGCCTGCCACCTTGCCTGGCTAATTTTTTGTATTTTTAGTAGAGATGGGGTTTTGCCATGTTGGCCAAGCTGGTCTCGAACTCCTGACTTCAAGTAATCCACCCATCTTGGCCTCCCAAAGTGCTGGGATTACAGGCATGAGCCATTGTGCCCAGCATTCTTTTTTTGTTTGTTTGTTTTGTTTGAGATGGAGTTTTGCTCTGTTGCCCAGGCTGGAGTGAAGTGGCACTGTCTTGGCTCACTGCAACCTCTGCCTCCCAGGTTCAAGCAATTCCCCTGCCTTAGCCTCCCAAGTAACTGGGATTACAGGTGCCTGCCACCATGCCTGGCTTATTTTTGTGTGTTTTTTTTTTTTTTTTTTACAGCCAAGGTTTCATCATGTTGGCCAGGCTGGTCTCCAACTCCTGACCTCAAGTGATCTGCCTACCTCAGCCTCCCAAAATACTGAGATTACAGATGTGAGCCACTGCGCCCAGCCTACTTTTAATACTACATGAATATTTCTTTGCGTGTGTGTGTGTGTGTGTGTGTGTGTGAGAGAGAGAGAGAGAGAGAGAGAGAGAGAGAGAGACAGTATCTTGCTCTGACACCCAGGCTGGAGTGCAATGGCATGTTCACAGCTCACTGCAGCCTTGAACTCCAGGGCCCAAGTGATTCTCCCACCACACCCTCCTAAGTAGCTGGGACCACAGGTGTGTATCCCCACACCCAGCTAATTTTAGAGCCCCTCACTTTTGTAGAGACAAGGTGTCTCCTTATGTTGCCCAGGCTGGTCCCAAACTCCTGGATCCTGGCTCAAGCAATCTTCCTGCCTTGGCTTCCCAAAGTAATGGGATTACAGGTGTGAGCCACCTGGCCTAGCCTAATTTTTAAAAATTTTTATTTTTAGTAGAGACAAAGCCTCGATATGTTGCTCAGACTGGTTTCAAACTCCTGGGCTCAAGTGATCCTCCTGCCTCGGCCTCCCAAAGTGCTGGGATTATAGTCATGAGCCACCTAATGACTATAAGCACCTGGCTTTTGGCCGGGTGTGGTGGCTCAAGCCTGTAATCCCAGTACTTTGGGAGGCCGAGACGGGCGGATCATGAGGTCAGGAGATCGAGACCATCCTGGCTAATACGGTGAAACCCCGTCTCTACTAAAAAATACAAAAAATTAGCCGGGCAAGGTGGCGGGCTCCTGTAGTTCCAGCTACTCGGGAGGCTGAGGCAGGAGAATGGCGGGAACTCGGGAGGCAGAGCTTGCCCTGAGCTGAGATCCGGCCACTGCACTCCAGCCTGGGCGACAGAGCGAGACTCCGTCTCAAAAAAAAAAAAAAAAAAAAAAAAGCACCTGGCTTTTTTTTGCACGACAGGGTCTTGCTGCATCGCCCAGTCTGGAGTGCAGTGGTGCAGTCATATCTCCCTGTAACCTCAAAATCCTGGCCTCAAGCCATCCTCCCAGCTCAGTTCCCCAAATAACTAGGACTATAAGCATGCACCGTCACCCCGTTTTTCTTTGTCTTTTTAATGCTATCCTCACCTACTCCCCCGACAAAGGGAGTGTTTATGAAGTGTTGAGGTGAGAAAGTTGTCTAGTGGACTGTAGAAGCATATATTTACAATTTTATGGTGACAGTTACTCTTCTGCTCTGTCAAATTCATTTACAAGGTCAGGGCATTTTATAATTATAGTTGATGAAATGTGGTTTTAATGGTCATCTATATAAAATGTCATCAGGAATTTCCTCTACAATTATGAGTCTGATTTTTCGTAGGAAAAAATACAAAACTGAAAGCATGTTAGAAACCAAAAGACCTTAGCAATTACCTAGTTTATCTCCCTGACTTTACAGATGAGTAAATTGGATCTGAGCTTTGATTTAAGAAAGGAAAATGCCTGTATAGTAAATGCTTAATTCATGAAGTTGTCTACCTAGAAAGACTATAATAAGACGCTGAATTCTACAACAGAGTATGATTCAGAATGGTCAAAGTGTGGAGCAATATTTGTGATTCTTCAGGGAAACCTCAAATGCATTCTGAAGGGGAGATACCTTCACTGCCATCAGGCAGCCAATCTGCAAAACCAGTAAGCCAGCCCAGGAAATCAACCCAGCCAGATGTTTGTGCTTCTCCTCAAGAAAAGCCACTCAGGACTCTGTTTCACCAACCTGAGGAAGAGACAGAAGATGGTGGACTCTTCATTCCAATGGGTAGGCTTCCTTCTTTTTAATTAAATGAAACATCTTTATTGAAGTATAATATGTAGAAAACTGCACATATCCTAAGATATCCTGAATTCACTATATTTTCACAAATTTAATACACCCTTGTAAGCAGGACCCAGATCGAGATACAGAATGTTATCAGTACCCAGAAGTCCATCTTGTCTTCCCTTTCAGTTACCCTCTACCCAGAGGTTAACCACTCTCCTGATGTCTAGCAGCATATATTGGTTCAATTTTTTTTTTTATTTTCCTTTTGAGACGGAGTTTCGTTCTTGGCTGGAGTACAGGGGCTTGATCTTGGCTCACTGCAACTGTTGCCTCCTGGGTTCAAATGATTCTCCTGCCTCAGCCTCCAGAGTAGCTGGGATTACAGGCGCCTGCCACCACACCCAGCTAATTTTTGTGTTTTTAGTAGAGACATGGTTTTGCTATGTTGGCCAGGCTGGTCTCGAACTCCTGACTTCAGGTGATCCAACCACCTTGGCTTCACAAAGTGCTGGGATTACAGGTGTGAGCCATTGCGCCCAGCCAGTTGTTTTGTCTTTTTGTCTTTTATTTGAATGGAATCATGTGTGTACATTTTATAACTGCCTTTTTTTTTTTTTTTTTTTTTTTGAAGACAGGGTCTCACTCTGTCACTCAGACTGGAGTGTAGTGGTGCCATCACAGCTCACTGTGGCCTTGACCTCCTGGGTTAAAGTGATCTTTTTGTCTCAGCCCTGAGTAGCTGGGACTGTAAGCGCGTGCTATCACGGCCAGCTAATATTTTTTTTCTTTTTTTTTGAGATAGAATCTTGCTTTGTTGCCCAGGCTACTGGAATGCAGTGGCTTGATCTCAGCTCACTGCAACCTCCACCTCCTGGGTTCAAGCAATTCTCCTGCTTCAGCATCCCTAGCAGCTGGGATTACAGGCACCTGCCATCATGCCCAGCTAATTTTTGTTTTTTTTTTTGTAGAGGCGGGGTTTCACCATGTTGGCCAGGCTGGTCTTGAACTCCTGACCTCAGGTGATCTGTCTGCCTTGGCTTTCCAAAGTGCTGGGATTACAGGCATGAGCCACTGCACCCAGCCCAGCCAGCTAATTAAAAAAATTTTTTTTGTAGAGATGGAGCCCCACTGTATTGCCCAGGCTGGTCTCAAACTCCTGTGCTCAATTGATCCTCTTGCCTCGGCCTCCCAAAGTGTTGGGATGACAGGCGTGAGCCACCGTGCCTGGCATTGTGACTGCGTTTATTCTCTCAATGTTTTTTTTTTGTTGTTTTTTCTTTTGAGACAGAGTCTTGCTCTGTCACCCAGACTGGAGTGCAGTAGTGCTATCTTGGCTCACTGCAGTGTCCACCTCCCGGGTTCCAGCGATTCTCCTGCCTCAGCCTCCTGGGTAGCTGGGATTACAGGCACGGCCACCATGCAGGGCTAATTTTTTTATTTTTAGTAGAGACGGGGTTTCACTATGTTGGCCAGGCTGGTCTTGAACTCCTGAGCTCAGGTGATCTGCCAGCCTCGGCCTCCCGATGTGCTGGGATTACAGGTGTGAGTCACCATGCCCAGCCTCAATATTGTTTTTTTGTTTTGTTTTGTTTTTGTTTTTGTTTTTGTTTTTTTTTGAGACGGAGTCTCGCTCTGTCTCCCAGGCTGGAGTGCAGTGGCGCGATCTCCACTCACTGCAAGCTCCGCCTCCCGGGTTCACGCCATTCTCCTGCCTCAGCCTCCTGTGTGGCTGGGACTACAGGCGCCCGCCACCGCGCCCGGCTAATTTTTGTATTTTTAGTAGAGACGGGGTTTCACCATGTTAGTCAGGATGGTCTCGATCTCCTGACCTCGTGATCCGCCCATCTCGGCCTCCCAAAGTGCTGGGATTACAGGCGTGAGCCACCGCGCCCGGCCTTGTTTTGTTTTTGTTGTTGAGACGAAGTCTCGCTCTGCCGCCCAGGCTGGAGTGCAGTGGCACAATCTCGGCTCATTGCAAGCTCCGCCTCCCGGGTTCACACCATTCTCCTGCCTCAGCCTCCCAAGTATCTGGGACTACAGGCGCCTGCCACCAGGCCCGGCTAATTTTTTGTATCTTTTAGTAGAAACAGGGTTTCGCCATGTTAGCCAAGATGGTCTTGATCTCCTGACCTCGTGATCCACCTGCCGCGGCCTCCCAAAGTGCTGGGATTACAGGCATGAGCCACCGCGCCCGGCCAACATTGTTTTATATTTATGAAATTCATCCATATTCTTGGATGTACTCGTAGACTGTTCATTTTTATTGCTGTGTATCATTCTGTTGTTTGAATATTTTATGTATCTTTTTATTTTCTTTTCTTTAAATTTTTTTTTTTTTTTTTTTTTTTTGAGACAGAGTCTCGCTCTGTCGCCCAGGCTGGAGTGTAGTGGCTGGATCTCAGCTCATCGCAAGCTCCGCCTCCCGGGTTTATGCCATTCTCCTGCCTCAGCCTCTCGAGCAGCTGGGAATACAGGCGCCTGCCACCTCGCCCGGCTAGTTTTTTGTATTTTTTAGTAGAGACAGGGTTTCACCGTGTTAGCCAGGATGGTCTCGATCTCCTGACCTCGTGATCCGCCCGTCTCAGCCTCCCAAAGTGCTGGGATTACAGGCTTGAGCCACCGCGCCCGGCCTTTTTTTTTTTTTTTTTTTTAAGAGATAGGTACTGCTCTGTCACCCAGGCTGGAAGTTCAGTGACATCATCAAAGCTCACTGCAACCTTGAACTCCTAGGTTCAAGTGATCTTCCCACTTCAGCCTCCCCAGTAACTGGGACTTTAGGTGCACACCACAATGCCTGGCTAATTTTCATTTTTATTTTATTATTATTATTTTTTTAGAGACGGTTTTCACTATGTTGCCCAGGCTGATTTTGTATTTCTGAGCTCGAGCAGTCCCTCCTTGATCTCTCAAAGTGTGGGATTACAGGCATGAGCCTCCTCACCTGGTCTGCTTTATGTTTTCTTTATCCATTCAACTCTTGGTTTTGTTTTTTCTTTTTGCTTCTTTGTGCCCATTGTTACTCCCAGGCTGGAGTGCAGTGGCGTGATCTCGGCTCACTGCAACCTCTGCAATCTCTGAGTTCAGGCAATTCTCCTGCCTCAGCCTCCCGTGTAGCTGGGATTATAGGCGCGTGCCACCGCTCCCCTGCTAATTTTTGTATTTTTAGTAGAGACGGGGTTTCATCATGTTGGTCAGGCTGGTCTCGAAGTCCTGACCTCATGATCCACCCGCCTCAGTCTCCCAAAGTGCTGGGATTACAGGCATGAGCCACTGTGCCTGGCCCTTTTTTTTTTTTTTTTTTTTTTTGATATGGAGTTTTGCTCTCGTCGCCCAGGCTGGAGTGCAATGGTGCAATCTTGGCTCACTGCAGCCGCTCCCTCCTGGGTTCAAGCGATTCTTCTGCTTCAGTTTCCCAAGTAGCTGGGACTAAAGGCACGTGCCACCACAGCCAGCTAATTTTTTTTTTTTTTTTTTTTTTTTTTTTTTTAGTAGAGGCAGAGTTTCACCATGTTGGTCAGGCTGATCTTGAACTCCTGACCTCAAATGATCCACCCACCTTGGCCTCCCAAAGTGCTGGGTCACAGGTGCAAACCACTGCACGTGGCCGCATTCAATTCTTGATGAGCATTTGGATAGTTTTCAGTTGTAGCTACTCTGAGTGGTGCTGCTGTGAATAATCTATAGATTTTTTGCTGAACATGTGTACTTCTTTTTTGTTGGATGGAAATGCTAGCTCATAAGGTTAGGCATCCTTAAAATTCTTTTGAAATACTGAATTTTTTATTGTGAAACATAACACAGACACATGACTAAAGACTTCTTTATTTGATTTAGCAAATGGTTTCTGTGTGTGTGTGACTCTTGCTCCGTCGCCTAGGCTTGAGTGCAGTGGTGTGATCTCGGCTCACTGCAGCCTCCATCTCCCGGGTTCAAGTGATTCTCCTGTCTTAGCCTCCTGAGTAATTGGAATTACAGGGGCACACCACCGTGCCCGGCTAATTTTGTATTTTCAGTAGAGACAGGGTTTCACCATGTTGGCCAGGCTGGTCTTGAACTTCTGACCTCAGGTGATCTACCTGCCTTGGGCTCCCAAAGGGCTGGGATTACAGGCAGTGGGCCACTGCGTCCAGCCTCACTTTGGCAAATGGTTTTAAAATGAACATGTAATTTTTCTTATTGCATATTCTAGACCTTCATTACTATGTAGGTTATAAGTAGTAGTGATAGTCGACATCTGTGTCTTATTTCTGAACACAACAGGAAAATGTTCAGTATTCCTTCATTATATATGAGGATAGTTACAGGCTTTCCATAGAAATATTTTTTAGGTTAAGGAAATAATTTTCTTTTCCTAAGTTTTCTGAGTTTTTTCATACATTGAATTTCATCAAATGCTTTTTCCTATCTCTATTAAGATCATGTTTTTTTCCTCTTTCGTTTTGTTAATGTAGTAAGTTACATTAGGTTTATTGAGGTATAAAATAAAATGTATCTGATGAGTTTTGAAAAATATGTACAGTGGGGCCAAGTGTGGTGACTCACGCCTGTAATCTCAGCACTTTGGCAGGCTGAGGCGGGTGGATCACCTGAGGTCGGGAGTTCGAGACCAGCCTGAGCAACATGGAGAAACCCGGTCTTTACTAAAAATACAAAATTAGCTGGGCGTGGTGACACACGCCTGTAATCCCAGCTACTCAGGAGGCTGAGGCAGGAGAATCACTTGAACCCAGGAGGCAGAGGTTGCGGTGAGCCAAGATTGTACCATTGCACTCCAGCCTGGGCAACAAGAGCGAAACTCCATCTCAAAAAAACAAAAGAAAGAAAAATATATACAGTTGTGTTAAGTGCTGCCACAACCAATGTGGAACATTTCTGTCACCCCAAAAGTTGCCTAATTCCCCTTTGCTATTCCCTGTTCTCAAACATTGGCAACCACTAATTTCTTTTCTATTTCCATAGTTTTGCATCTTCTGTGCAAATGTTCTATACTGGGTATACTGTCATATAATATGTGTCCTTTTACATCTGGTTTCTTTCACTTGGCATAATGCTTTTGAGATTTATCCACTTTACTGTCAGCTTTCTGGGCTAAGTTCCTGGAGCAGCTATTTTGGAATTCTGGTGATGCTCTTGGTTTATTTGCAGAAGAACAAGACAATGAAGAAAGTGAGAAAAGGAGAAAAAAGAAAAAGGGTACCAAGAGGAAACGAGATGGAAGGGGTCAAGAAGGGACCTTGGCATATGACCTGAAACTGGACGACATGCTTGACCGTACCTTGGAGGATGGTGCCAAGCAGCACAATCTAACAGCGGTCAATGTCCGAAACATCCTTCATGTGAGTAAGACTGGGGCAGCTATGTTAATGGAAGGGAACTTTTTCATGGAAAGCGTATAAAAATACTCAGCAAATTCTTGACTTTTGGCATGTTAATTACCGATTTTATGGGTTACCTGTGATAGAACATTATACATTTTTACATATTTAAGATAGCTTTCGCCTTGTACTCAGTACAAGTTTGAAATATGAACACGTTAAAGAAGAATTTAATTGGAAAGATAAACTGTTTCTGTTTTCCACTGATTTGCATATTTACTGTATTGTTTAGCAGATTCAATGTTGATAATGTTCATAGTGGGTATACTCTTTTGTGGGTCGATATGTCTAAAAAGATGCCCGGTTAATAGTTTATTGCTCTTCGTACATATGTAAATACTTTTCTTGATATGTAGCAACACAGCTATTTGCAGAGCCTTTACTCTTTGTTACTCTTTCCCTTAAGCATGTAGTTACTTACCTCAGGATCTCTTTTTATGTGAGCCATTCCTGTTCCTAGTAGCAGCTAATGAGATTGGTTCATTTGCTGCTACCTTGTTTGAAACTGTGGTTCTGGCCAAAACTTACTTCTGCCTTCTTTGCTTTCAGTTGCGTTGCTTTATCCCAGTCTGATGCTATTCGAGTATATGGTTCTCATTTGTCCTGTACACACGTCTAACAGAGTTACATAGAGAGAAGAGTATTGTCTAGGTGACAAACCCTTGTTGCATAAAGTGTAATTTCATCTTTCTCCAGGAAGTAATCACAAATGAACATGTGGTAGCTATGATGAAAGCAGCCATCAGTGAGTCAGAAGATATGCCAATGTTTGTGAGTAGTTGACTCTTTTAATGTCTTGGAACAGAGTTTTCTGTAAACTGGCTAAGGGTAGGAAGTCACTTAGGAGTTTGTAAACAGTTTGGCAGCTGGGGTGAAAGTTAGCATCCCAAAACACAAGAATTACGTGGTAATTTTTATTTATTTTATTTGTTATTTTATTATTATTATTATTTTTGTTGTTGTTGTTGTTGTTGAGACGGAGTCTCGCTCTGTCACCCAGACTGGAGTGCAGTGGCGCATCTCAGCTCACTGCAAGCTCCGCCTCCCGGGTTTACGCCATTCTCCTGCCTCAGCCTCCCGAGTAGCTGGGACTACAGGCGCCCGCCACCTCGCCCGGCTAGATTTTTGTATTTTTTTAGTAGAGACGGGGTTTCACTGTGTTAGCCAGGATGGTCTCAATCTTCTGACCTCATGATCCACCCGTCTCGGCCTCCCAAAGTGCTGGGATTACAGGCTTGAGCCACCACGCCCGGCCTTTATTATTATTATTTTTTAGAGACAAGGTCGTGCTGTGTCACCAAGGCTAGACTCAAACTCCTAAGCTAGACTCAGAGATCCTCCCGGTTCAGCCTCCTGAGTAGCTGGGACTACAGGAGCATGCGACTATGCCCAGCTAATTTAAAACAATTTTTTTTGTAGGGGGTATCTCACTATGTTGCCCAGGCTGGTCTCAAACTCCTGACCTCAAGCCATCCTCCCACCTTGCCCCTAAAATGCTAGGATTACAGGCATGAGCCACCTCACTGAGCTGTGATTTTTATTGAATATTTCCTTTCTGTTTTTTTCTCCTTAGGAGCCTAAAATGACACGCTCTAAACTGAAGGAAGTAGTGGAAAAAGGAGTGGTAAGCATTCTGTTTTTTTGTTTGTTGGTTGTTTTTAGCTTGGTAAATAGGATCTAATTCACCCATAGGGAAAAATATAGGAAAGATTGTGGTCTGAATTTTCCTCTTTAAAGAAGTATTTGTAAAAGACAGTAGAATTGTTTCTACATGATCATAAGCTATAATGATCATAGTTTATTTTAGTAGATATGAAGCATTGCTTTTTGGAATTGCTAGAAAGATAACCATTTGGAATGGCTGAAACCAATGGGTGAGACCAGTTTTTCTATTTATGTTACAACACTTGTTGCAAAGTGTTTAGTATTTTTCATAGTGTGTTCTAGGGGACAGTTCCATAAAAATCACTTTGGTGTGGGATCCCTCAGGCATGCTTATTAAAAATGCATACTTTTGGCCAGGTGTAGTGGCTCATGCCTGTAATCCCAGCACTTTGGGAGGCCGAGGCAGGTGAATCACTCGAAGTCAGGAGTTCGAGACCAGCCTGGCCAACATAGTGAAACTCTGTCTCTACTAAAAATACAAAAATTAGGTGGGTGTGGAGGTGTGCGCCTGTAATCCCAGCTGCTTGGGAGGCTGAGGCACAAGAATCGCTTGAACCCGGGAGGCGGAGGTTGCAATGAGTGGAGATTACACCACTGCACTACAGCCTGGGCAACGGAGTGAGACTGTCTCAAAAAAACAAATACAAAAACAAACAAAATAATCCCCATACTTTTGGGCCCACCCCAGACCAGAGAATCAGGACCCATGGGCAGGGCCTTGGAATATGCATTGGCAAAAACACAACAGTTAATTCTTTTGAATACTAAAGTGTGAGAACCACTTGAAGACATCTGAAGTGTTCTGGTACAGCAAGCTCTTTGGTGCTTGGAGCTATGCTATATCCTTCTTAATAAGCACTTGACTAGTTCGTGCTTACAAGACAGTTAGTAGTCATGAGGGAGTTCATTATATTTCTGATAGTAAGGAAGATTTGCCTTACAGACTGAAAATACGTATCATAGGTTTTATCTGTCCTGGTTTTATTCCTTGGAGCCTGATACAAGAAACAAGTCTAGGCTGGGCGTCGTGGCTCATACCTGTAATCCCAGCACTTTGGTAGGTGGAGGTAGGAAGATCGCTTGAAGCCAGGAGTTCAAGAGCAGCCTGGGCAACATAATGAGACCCTGTCTAGAAAAAAAAGCAAGAAAAGAAATTGGTGTATTCTTCCACATGACTTTTCCTACAGTTGAAAAAAACTAGTATGTCGTTTCATAACATTTTCTTGGCTATACATCCCCCAATTTGTCCCCCGACTTTTTTTTTTGAGATGGAGTCTTGCTTCATCATCCAGGCTGGAGTGCAGTGGCATGATTCTGGCTCACTGCAACCTCCGCCTCCCAAGTTTAAGTGATTCTTCTGCCTCAGCCTCCTGAGTAGCTAGGATTACAGGTGCATGCCACCATGCACGGCTAATTTTTTTTTTTTTTTTTTTTTAATTTTTAGTAGAGATGGGGTTTCACCATGTTGGCCAGACTGGTTTCAAACTCCTGACCTCAAGTGATCTACCCGCCTTGGCCTCCCAAAGTACTGGGATTACAGGCGGAGCCACTGTGTCTGGCCTTTTTGTTTTGAGATGGAGTCTCACTCTGTCACCCAGGCTGAAATGCAGTGGTGCAATCTCAGCTCACCGCAACCTCTGGCTCCCAGGTTCAAGTGATTCTCATACCTCAGCCTGCTCAGTAGCTGGGATTATAGGCATGCATCACCACACCCGTCTATTTTTTGTATTTTTAGTAGAGGTGGAGTTTCACCATGTTGGCCAGGCTGCTTTTGAATTGGCCCATGTGATCACCCGCCTTGGCCTCACAACATGCTAGGATTACAGGCATGAGCCACTGTGCCCATCCCATATCCTTAAAAGTATGCCATAAAAGTATGCCAAAAGAGCCGGGCACAGTGGCTCACGTCTGTAATCCCAGCACTTTGGGAGGCTGAGGGGGGCGGATCGTGAGGTCAGGAGATGGAGACCATCTTGGCTAACACGGTGAAACCCCGTCTCTACTGAAAATACAAAAATTAGCCAGGCGTGGTGGCAGACGCCTGTAGTCCCAGCTACTCTGGAGGCTGAGGCAGGAGAATGGCGTGAACCTGGGAGGCAGAGCTTTCAGTGAGCCAAGATCGCGCCACTGCACTCCAGCCTGGGCGATAGAACGAGACTCCGTCTCAAAAAAAAAAAAGGTATGCCAAAAGAAGACTACTGAACCAGATGTGGTTTGACTAGTATAGTTAGATTATCTCCACAGTGTTCCAGATTATTAATTTATCCTAATGTAGCCTAAGGTCAAATCGACCTTTTTTTTGGCAATCACGTAACTTTTTTGGTCTGGTTGACTAACCCTCATTGCATAAATTGAAATTTCATCTTTCTCCAGGATGTGATCACAAATGAATAGGTGGTAGCTATGATGAAAGCAGCTACCAATGAGGAAGTTCTGTGAAGTCTACTTGACATATAGAATATAATTAACATGGCTGGGCGCAGTGGCTCACGCCTGTAATTCCAGCACTTTGGGAGGACGAGGCAGGTGGATCACCTGAGGTCAGGAGTTTGAGACCAGCCTGGCCAACTTGGTGAAACCCCGTCTCTACTAAAAATACAACAATTAGCTGGGCGTGGTGGTGGACACCTGTAATCCCAGCTACAGAGACAAGAGGATCGCTTGAACCCAGGAGGGAGAGGTTGCAGTGAGCGGAGATCATACCACTGCACTCCAGCCTGGGTGATAGAGCAAGACTGTGTCTTACAGGAAAAAAAAAAAGAATATAATTAACATTAATTCTTTATTTGATTTGGTGAAAAAAAATCCAAGGAGATCCAAATTAGGCTCTGGATTGTGTTTATTGGCCATAAATATAGATGTAGAGAAGTTGGGCCATCCAATACTGTGTAGTTTATGTAGGAGAGCAGGTATTAAAATGTAGGTCTCTTGCTGCTTCTTTCTTTCCTTTTTTTTTTAGAGACTTGCTCTGTTGCTCAGGCTAGAGTACAGTGGCCTAATCATAGCTCACTGCTGCCTTGAACTCCTGTGCTCAAGGGATCCTCCTGCCTCAGCCTGGCAAACAGCTAGGCCTACAGGCATGTGCCACCATGCCCAGCTAATTGGTTTTTTTGAAACTTTTTTTTTTTTAGAAATAGGGTCTTGCTGTGTTGCCCAGGCTCATCTCAAACTCCTGGGCTCAAGTGATCCTTCTGTCTTGATCTCCCTACGTGCAGGGATTACAGGCATGAGCCACTATACTTGGCCTTCTTAATTCTTACTAGACTGACTCCAACACACTTCTGAATGCTGGCTTGCCTTTCTAATGGATTTGGCAGTAGGTAGGAAAGGGAAATGGACCTGAATCACATCATTCCCTTTACCCTGTATTGGTCCCATCTACACAGCACTAGGTAAATGGTCAGAACATAGCAGGGCTGATTTGATTTGAGAAGCTAAGACTCCTTTTAGAGACAGAACCTAATGGCCAGTTGGCTTTTGTTCATAAGGTGATTTTGGTTGGGTTACAATTAAATGGTCAAGAAATTATACATCCTCAATGGCATTTTATCAGCAATATATAAGAACTTTAAAAAAGTTCTTTAGGCTAGGTGTGGTGGCTCACACCTATAATCCCAGTGCTTTGAGAGGCTGAGATGGGAGGATTGTTTGAGCCCAGGAGTTTGAGACCAGCCTAGGAAATCTAATGAGACTCTGTGTCTACAAAAAATTTTAAAAATTAGCGAGGTCTGGTGAGGAGGCATGCCTGTAGTCCTAATCGGGAGGCTGAGGCAGGAGGATCACTTGAGCTCAGGAATTTGAGGCTGCAGTGAGCTCTGATAGTGCTACTGCTCTAGCCTGGGCAACAGGGCAAGATCCTGTCTCAAAACAAAAACAAAAACAAGAAAAACTTTCCCTCTAGCTCTTATAAAAATTTTCAAACATTCAAAAAGTTGAAAGATTGTTACAATGTATGTAAATTCTAAGAGTAATATTTTGCCATATTTGCTTTATATCTCTGTGTTGTTTTTTCATGTCCTATTGGAAAAATAAGTGTGGACAACTTGAAACTTTGCCCTAAATCCCCTAGTAAAAGTGTTTTTTTTTGTTTTTTTTTTTTTTAAAAAAGCAGCTCCATAGGCAGAGCAGGTCTACTCCATAGGCAGAATAGTCCATAAAAGCTTTTCATGGCTGGCTTTTGGAGTTGTACGTACAGTGGTTTTATGTAACTGATTACAAAAATATATTGCTGTTAAAAGACTACTGTAACCAAAATATCTTAGATTTATGTAGTTTAATAGTTTATAAATAGTTTTCACATCTGTTGTTCCATGTGAACCGCAGCTGTGATATGAACAAGGTAGACATTGTTTTCTTCATTTATAGAAAGAAGTGAGGCTTACCAGGTGTAAGGCAGAAATGCTCATGACTGTAATAGATTCTTTCCTCGTTTCCTTCTTTCTAACTCTGACAAATAATTGAGAGTATACCCTCAGGGATAACAACACCTCTAGATCACTGCAGGTACTTGTTAAGTATATGGCTGTTAGTGATGGTACAGAGGAAGTAAACATGAAAAACAATTATTTCAGTTAAGATAACTTATTTATATTCTTTGTTGGTAGGTAATTCCAACATGGAATATTTCACCAATTAAGAAGGCCAATGAAATTAAGGTAAACTTGGAAGAAATAATTGTTATTCTTTTCCAGAAAGACTTCATCGGTTTTGAAACTTAAGTACTTCCTCTTTAACTTTTCTTGATCAATCTTTGTTTTAATTCCAGCTTTGTTTTTTTCCATTCTATTACTCTTAGGTTTGCATCTCATGGAATTCACTTTAACCTCTGCCTCGTGTTATTTGCTTTAGCTGTACATTATGCTCTTAGGATTTTTTTTTTTCCTGCCCTGCTTCTTCCCCTTATTTTCCAAATACGTATGATTTGTGTTTCCCATTAGTTCATTTCTTTCTAATTGTACTAATGTAGCCTCCTCAGTTTGTGGATATCCACCTTGAAGAAGATGATTCCTCAGATGAAGAATACCAGCCGGATGATGAAGAAGAAGATGAAACTGCTGAAGAGGTCAGTGAATGTTAGTTGGTAATGTTTGTCTTAATAAAGCAGGGTATACTTTGCTTCTTTAGTAATGTCACTTGTAGAGAGGATTGAGACATGGTTATTTTTTCAGCTCATTTCTGTGCTTTAAGCTGTTTTTCTACCTTTTATACTCCCTTAATTTTATAATCTATTGTATTATGAAATATAGCATAGAAACATGCATAGAATAAAAATGTATAGCTTTGGTTATTATAATGCAAATCCTCATGAAACTCATAGCAAAGTCAAGAACTATAACATTACTAGGACACCCCCGTATACACTCCCCAGTCATAATCACCTCCCTCCCCCTAAAAATAACTACAACCCTGCCTTTTAGTAATTATTTCTTTGCTTTTCTTTATAGTTATATCACCTCAATATGTATCTCTACACACTATAGTTCAATTGTTACTGTTTTGAACTTTATATAAATGGACCCATGTTTATATGTTTTGTTCCTAGCTTTTTAAAATTCAACATTATGCTTTTGAGATTCATTTATACTACTGGTTTTAGCTATACTTTGTTCACTTTCATTGCTGTGTTAATATGTCCTTTGACTTGTTTCTTAATGTATTCTTTAAATTGTTTTGTAAAAGGATTTTAGACCAAGGCCTTACACTTTGTAATATGGATTAGGATAGTGATCTGATCCCTGTCCCCACCTTTAGGATTTTTTTTTTTTTTTTTTAAATCTCCTCTGTTGCCTATGGAGTGCAGTGTGCGATGTTGACTCACTGCAATCTCCACCTCCCAGGTTCAAGCGATTCTTCTGCCTCAGCCTCCTGAGTAGCTGGGATTACAGGCGTGCGCTACCATGCCTGGCTAATTTTTGTATTTTTAGTAGAGACAGGGTTTTGCCATGTTGGCCAGGCTGGTCTTGAACTTCTGACCTCAAGTGATCCACCCTCCTGGACCTTCCAAAGTGCTGGGATAACAGGCATAAGACACTGTACCTGGCCTTTAAGTTTCTATTTAAATTTTATTTTCTGTTACTGTAACTAGTTGAATGATGGATTTTTTTTTTTTTTTTTTTTTTTTTTTTGAGACAGGGTCTCGCTCTGCCACCCAGGCTGGAGTGCAGTGGTGCAATCTTGGCTCACTGCAACCTCCGTCTCCTGGATTTTAGTGATTCTCCTGCCTCAGCCTCCCAAGTAGCTGGGATTACAGGTGCGCACCACCACGCCCGGCTTATTTTTGTATTTTTAATAGAGACGGGTTTTCACCATGTTGGCCAGGCTGAGCGATTGATATTTTATGATTCCTTCTCTTGAGATACTTCAGACTTTGTGGAATGAGGTAGGGGCATAAATATTAAGGTGAACTGGGTTTATTTTGTAGAGCTTATTGGAAAGTGATGTTGAAAGCACTGCTTCATCTCCACGTGGGGCAAAGAAATCCAGATTGAGGCAGTCTTCTGAGATGACTGAAACAGATGAGGAGAGTGGCATATTATCGGAGGTAAATCGGCATCATACAAAAGAGATAAGTTTAGACATAACTGTGTAATTAGATTTTTTAACTGTGTAAGTAGATTATCCATGGTGATTCTGGGCTGTCACCATTTTTCAAAGTTTGTTAAGTTAGTAAACAGTTCAGAGAAGGCGAGAGCTCAGTGGTAACTAAAGAACTTTTCTGAGTTCTCATTAAGGGGCCAAAAATGTGCAACTAGTGGAGTTTCTTTTCTCCTACCCTTCTCTTCTTTCATATCTGTGCTTTCTAATGTTGTCCTAAAGCCATTGTTATTAATTTCCCACATTTTGGTAAACTAAGTAGCATTCTGTTGACTTCTCTAGAAATAGGATGAAAACTAATTAGATCAATACACCTGGAGTCTTTGTTTTTATGTACCTCTAACTAGAGAAGTGAAAGGACAGTGGTGTATGGAAAGTCTGCCTCTTTTTCCCTCTTTTTTTTTTTCCTTTTCTTGCTTTCTCTTTCTTTCTTTCTCTTCATTCTTTTCTTTCTCTTCTTTCTCTTCTCTTCTTTCTCTTTTCTTTCCTTTCTTTCCTTCCTTTCTTTTCCTTTTTTTTTCTTTTCTTCCCTCCTTCCTTTTTTGATGCAGTCACCTCTTTTAATCAGGTTGAGAAAGTCACCACACCAGCCATCAGGCACATCAGTGCTGAGGTAGTGCCCATGGGGCCCCCGCCCCCTCCAAAGCCGAAACAGACCAGAGATAGTACTTTCATGGAGAAGTTACATGCAGTAGATGAGGAGCTGGCTTCCAGTCCTGTCTGCATGGATTCTTTCCAGGTAAATATTAAAATTGTACTTCACTGAGAAAGTCAAATGGAGTAATCTAGTTGTTGCTCAGGCTGGGAAGGGAGAGGAAAAGATAACTACAACTTTATATAAGTAAGAGTTAGTATTTGATACTTTATATTTGGCTAGTGCTATTTTCTGCTAAGTGACAATGGCAGTTTGGGTTTTTTTTTTTTTTTGAGACAAGGTATCACCCTGTCACCCAGGCTTGAGTGCAGTGGTGTGATCTTGGCCCACTGCAACCTCCGCCTCCCAGACTCAAGTGATCTTCCCACCTCAGCCTCCCGAGTAGGTGGGACAGGTATATGCCACCGCACCCGGCTAATTTTTTAGTTTTTTGTAGAGTTGAGGTCTCCCTATATTTTTGCCCAGGCTGGTATCGAACTCCTGGGCTCAAGTGATCCTCCCACCTTAGCCTCTCAAAGTGCTGGGATTACTGGTGTGAACCATCGTGCCTGACTGAGAATGGCAGTTTCTAAGGAAGAAATGAACTATGTAGCAGAGAGCATTTAAAAATGTAGGACACAGGAAAAAGCTTCACCCAAATTCCCCCAAATTAACCTTTTACCACAATTGCTTGATGGTTCTCTTCCCCTTTCTCTCTGTATATACATACTGTTTTCTGAATCATTTTAGAGTGTGGTTCAGGCATGATGCCATTTTACCTCTACATGCTTTTGTGTATATTTTCTTCTTTTTTTTTTTGAGACGGAGTCTCGCTCTGTTGCCCAGGCTGGAGCGCAGTCTTGATCTCGGTTCACTGCAAGCTCCGCCTCCCGGGTTCACGTCATTCTTCTGACTCAGCCTCCGGAGTAGCTGGGACCACAGGCGCCCACAACCATGCGTGGCTAATTTTTTGTATTTTTAGTAGAGACGGGGTTTCACCATGTTAGCCAGGATGGTCTCGATATCCTGACCTCGTGATCCACCCGCCTCTGCCTCCCAAAGTACTGGGATTACAGGCGTAAGCCACCGTGCCCAGCCTCTTTTGTGTATATTATCTAAAAATGAGTTTATTCTCTTGTATTAACACGGTATAATAGTGTGTTAATCAAAGTCAAGATATAGGCTGTGTGCGGTGGCTCATGCCTGTAATCCTAGCACTTTGAGAGGCCAAAGTGGGTGAAACACTTGAGGTCAGGAGTTCAAGACCAGCCTGGCCAACATGGTGAAACCCCCATCTCTACTAAAAATACAAAAATTTGCCAAGTGTCGTGGCGCATGCCTATAATCCCAGCTACTCAGAAAGCTGAGGCAGGAGAATTGCTTGAACCCGGGAGGCAGAGGTTGCAGTGAGCTGAGATTGTGCCACTGCACTCCAGCCTGGGCAACGGAGAGAGACTCTGTCTCAAAATCAATCAATCAATCAATCAGGATACAGTAATATAGCATAATATATTAAAGTGCTTATTCTGGTTTTATCTGTTGTCCCAATAATGCCCTTTATGTTGGAGGAAAATAAATTTTTTCCCTATTCAGCATTCAACCCTGGATTAAATATCTATTTAATTGTCTTGTTCTTTAGTCTCCTTTAATCTGGAACAGTTTCTCAGTCTTTGTCTTTTATAACCCTGATAGTTTTGAGGAGTATACACCACTTATTTTGTAGAATGTTCTTCAATTTTTATTTTTCTAATATTTCATCTTAATTAGATTCAGGTTTTGCACTTTTGTTACAAATACTGGAAGAGTGAGGTGTATTTCTCAGAAATACACCTTCTGAGAGGTGCCTCTCAGAAGGCACGTGATGTCTGTCATGTTAACTTTCATCACTTGGTTAAGGTTGTACGTGCTTGGTTTTCCTACCTTAAAGTTCTTATTTTCCATTTTTAATTAGTATATATCATATGGGGATATACTTCAAAGCCGAATTCCTTTCTTTCTTGTCTTTTTTTTTTCCTAGATGGAGTCTCACTCTCTTGCCCAGGCTGGAGTGCGGTGGCATGATTTTGGCTCACTGTACCTCCGCTTCCTGGGTTCAAGTGATTCTCCTGCGTTAGCCCCTTGAGTAGCTGAGATTATAGGCGCATGCCACCACGCCTGGCTAATTTTTTATATTTTTAGTAGAAACGGGATTTCACTGTGTTAGCCAGGATGATCTCGATCTCCTGACCTCGTGATCCACCTGCCTCGGCCTTCCACAGTGCTGAGATTACATGTGTGAGCCACTGTGCTTGGCCTCCTTTTTTTTTTTTTTTTTTTTTTTTTTTTTGAGACATAGTCTTGCTCGGTTGCCCAGGCTGGAGTGCAGTGGTGCCATCTTGGGTCACTGCAACCTCCACTTCCCAGGTTCAAGTGATTCTCCTGCCTCAGCCTCTGGTAGCTGGGATTACAGATGCCTGACACCACACCCAGCTAATTTTTTGTATTTTTAGTAGAGATGGGGTTTCACCACGTTGGCCAGGCTGGTCTTAAACTCCTGACCTCAAGTGATCTGCCCACCTTAGCCTCCCACAATGCTGGAATTACAGACGTGAGCTGATGTGCCCAGCCCAATTAATCAAATTATTTTTCTCACACTAATATTAGCATCCATTGATTATTCTTTCTTTTTTTTTTTTTTTGAGATAGAGTCTTGCTCTGTTGCCCAGGCTGGAGTGCAGTGGCGCAATCTCGGCTGACTGCAATCTCCACCTCCCAGGTTTACGCCATTTTCCTGCCTCAGCCTCCCAGGTAGCTGGGACTACAGGTGCCCGCCACCACACCCAGCTAATTTTTTGTATTTTTTAGTAGAGACAGTGTTTCACCGTGTTAGCAGGATGGTCTCAATCTCCTGACCTTGTGATCCACCTGCCTTGACCTCCCAAAGTGCTGGGATTACAGGCGTGAGCCACCGCGCCCGGCCTCAGCCAGTAAATTTTAATGTTCCAAGTTTCCCCTATCATTCTTGCAGGTCAATGAAAAATATGTCTGTCCTAAAATTTTAAAGTATAATATAATAATTTAAAAATAAATCCTAAAATTAAAAAATATAATTAAGGCTGGGTGCAGTGGCTCACACCTGTAATCCCAGCACTTTGGGAGGCTGAGGCAGATGTATCACCTGAGGTCAGGAGTTTGAGACCAGCCTGGTCAACATGGTGAAACCCCGTCTCCACAAATACAAATATTAGCTGGGCGTGGTGGCAAGCACCTGTAATCCCAGCTACTCGGGAGGCTGAGGCACAAAAGTTGCTTGAACCCAGGAAGCGAAGGTTGCAGTGAGCTGAGATGGCGCCACTGCACTCCAGCCTGAGTGATAGAGCAAGACTCCATTTCAATTATATACATATATATTTATAATTATATATATATGTAATGTATATAATTAAAAATAGAATATTGAATGGAATAGTCAGTCATTTAATCATCATGCTTTTGAGTGAATAAATCGTAGTAGGGGCAGTAATAGTTTTTTATCTAACCATTTATTTAGCAAACACATACTGAATGGTTGAAGTTGAGAAACCACAGTGCAGAAGACAGAAAAAGTTGTTCTTCATGGAACTCACAGTCTATTGAGGAGAGATAGACTATTAGCATATAAACAAGTAAATTCAGATAGTGGTTAAGTGCTATGAACTAAATTAAAGTGAGGAAATATGAAACTTCCTATCAGAGAACTTTAGATAAGCTGATCAAAAAAGACCTCCTTGGCTGTAATTCCATCACTTTGGGAGGCCTAGGCTACAAGATTGCTTGAGGCTAGGAGTTTGAGACCAGGCTGGGCCATATAGTGAGACTCCGACTCTCCAAAAATTCAGAAAAATTATCTAGGTGTGGTGGCGCATGCCTGTATTCTTAGCTGCTTGGTGGCTGAGGCGGGAGGATTGATTAAGCCTGAGAGTTTGAGACTACAGTGAGCCATGACTGCACCCCTATACTCCAGCATGGGCAATAGTATGAGAACTTACTTTAAAAAAATTAAAAAAACAGGGTTGGGTTTGGTGGCTCATGTCCGTAATCCCAACACTTTAGGAGGCCAAGGAGAGCGGATCACATGAACCCAGGAAATCAAGACAGGCCTGGGTAACATAGTGAGACCTTGTCCCTACAAAAAATACAAAACTTGGCTGGGCGTACCGGCATGCACCTTTAGCCTCAGCTACTTGGGATGCTGAGCCTAGGAGGTCGAGGCTGTAGTGAGCTGTGATCACGCTATGGCACTCTAGCCTGGGCGACAGAGCAAGACTGTCAAAAAAAGAAAACAAAACAAAAAGACCTCTTTGAGGAGATGGCATTTAAGCTGAGATCCGAATGAGAGGAAGCCAGGCAAGTGAAAGATCTCGGGAGGAAAAGTGCTCCATATGGAAGAAACAGCACATTCTAAGTCGCTAAGATAGAGACAACTTTGGCATGGTTAAGGAACAGAAACTACATGGGTGGGATTGTGAAAAAGAGAGTTAGAAATGAGGTCAGAGAGCAAGGCAAGAGCTAGATCATGAAGGTCTTAGGAAACCATGATAAGGAGTATAGATTGTATTTTAAACATTAGAATAGATGCCCAGTGTGGTGGCTTATGCTTGTAATCTCAGCACTTTGGGAGGCCGAGGTGGGTGGATCACCTGAGGTCAGGATTTCGAGACCAGCCTGGCCAACATGGTAAACCCCGTCTCTAACAAAAAATACAAAAAAATTACCGGGTGTGGTGGCGCACACCTGTAATCCCAGTTACTTAGGAGGCTGAGGCAGGAGAATTGCTTGAACCTGGCAAGTGGAGGTTGCAGTGAGCTGAGATCACGCCACTGCACTCCAGCCTAGGAACGAGTGAGACTCCATAAAAAAAAAAAAAAAAAAAAAAAATAGAAAAGATTTTTGTGATATTTTCAGATTAATGTTAAAAATTCCTTTTGGTTAACGTGTGGGAAATGGGCTAGAGTAAAGCAAGAGGGTAAATAGAAACCCATTAGGAGGTTGATGCAGTGTAGTCTAGGGGGAGCTTCCCAAATTGATCTACAGATTCAGTGCAGTCCCTATCCAAATCCCAGCTACAATTTTTGTAGAAATTAACAACCTAATCCTAAAATTCATGTGGAATTGCACAGGCCCAGAATAGCCAAAACAGTCTTGAAAAAGTACAAAGATGGAGGTCTCTCACTTTCTCCCCCATCTGTACAAAAAATGAAAAAAAATAGCTGAACATGGATCCAGTGGCTCACACCTGTAATCCCAACACTTTGGGAGGCTGAGCAGGTAGATCACCTGGGGCCAGGAGTTCAAGACAAGCCTGGCCAACATGGTGAAACCCCATTCTACTAAAAGTACAAAAGTTAGCCAGGTGTGGTGGCACATGCCTATGGCACAACTATTCGGGAGGCCGAGGCAGGAGAATCGCCCGAACCTGGGAGATGGAGGTTGCAGTGATCCGAGATCGTACCACTGTACTCCAGAAGGGGCGACAGAGCACGACTCCATCTAAAAAGAAAAAAAAATTAGCCGAGCATGGTAGTGCATGCCTGTAGTCCTAGCTACTTGGGAGACTGAGGCAGAAGAATTGCTTGAGCCCAGGAGTTCGAAGCTGCAGTCAGCTCTGATTGTGCCAGTGCTCTAGCTTGGGTAACAGATCGAGACCCTATCTCTTAAGAAAAAAAAAAAAAAATGTCCAGGCACGGTGGCTCACAACTGTAATCCGAACACTTTGGGAGGCTGAGGCGGGCAGATCACCTGAGGTCAGGAGTTCGAGACCAGCTTGCTCAACATGGTGACACCCCATCTCTACTAAAAATACAAAAATTAGTCGGATGTGGTGGCTGGTGCCTGTAATCCCAACTACTTGGGAGGCTGAGGCAGGAGAATCCCTTGAACCCAAGAGGCAGAGGTTGCAGTGAGCCGAGATGACACCATTACATTCTAGCCCAGGCAACAAAGCAAGACTCCGTCTCAAAAAAAAAAAAGTATTGATAGATACTACAACAGGGTGGGATTTGAATGCATTATGCTAACTGAAAGCGGCCAGAGACAGGCCACACATTGTATGATTCCATCTAAGTGAAACGTCCAGCATAACCAAATCCATAGAGACAGAAAATAGATTAATGCTTAACGGGGCTGGGAGGAGGGGTAAAGGGAAGCGATTACTAATGGATGGGGTTTCTTTTGGGGGTAATGAAATGTTCTGAAATTAGATAAGGGTGATGGTTGTATAACTCTGTGAATATATGAAAATCCATTCACTTATGTACTTTAAAAGGGTGAAATTTATGGTATGTGAATTATATCTCAATAAAACTGTTACAAATTTTCATAAAATGTTGGTTTCAAACTGATGTCTTTTATTTTATTTTATTTCTTTTTTTATGTCGTGTTTCTTAAAGTTTCTCAAGCAATAGTAAATCCAAATTGTTTAGAGGAAAGATCCTGTTACTTAAGCTAGGATGAGAAGAAAAGGAGTGATGATGAGGTTTGGAAACATCACTCACTCAGTGACTTGTTTTTCTTTCTTCATTGTCCAGTCCATGGATGACAGTCTCATTGCATTTCGAACGCGTTCTAAGATGCCCCTGAAAGATGTTCCCCTGGGCCAACTAGAGGCAGAGCTCCAAGCTCCAGACATCACTCCAGATATGTATGACCCCAATACAGCAGATGATGAGGACTGGAAGATGTGGCTAGGGGGACTTATGAATGATGATGTGGGGAATGAAGGTAAGTTTTGGTTTGTGATTTATTATATATAGTGTCCATTATCTGTTGTAAAATTTTTATTATTTGGAAGGGTATAGAATGGAATGGTTTGGGTTAATTGATTTAATTTATATTTAACTGATAATTTATCTTAAATCAGTAGTTAATTTTTCTTTTTCTTTCTTTCTTTCTTTTTTTTTTTTTTTTCATGAGATAGGGTCTCACTCTGTCACCCAGGCTGAGTGCAGTGTTGCAGTCACGGTTCATTGCAGCGTTGACCTCTTGGGCTCAAGCAATCCTCTGCTTTACCCCACTGAGTAGCTGGAACTACAGGCACATGCCACTGTGCCTGATTAATTTTTTTTTTTTTTGTAGAAACGAGGTCTCACTATGTTGCCCAGGCTGTTCCCAAACTCCTGACCTCAAGCAATCCTCCTACCTTGGCCTCCTGAATGCCAGAATTATAGGCATGAGCCGCCATGCCTGGGCCAGTTCTTAACATTTCTTTCTTTCTTTTTTTTTTTTTTTTTTCTGGGTAAGGAATCTTGAATCCTAAGATTGTTGAATGCTGAGATTTGAATCCCTTGAAACATACATGCATACATAGTTTTGTTGTTGTCTTTTGTTTTTGAGACACCGTCCCAAAACAGGGTGTTGCCCAGGGTGGTTCACAGTGGTGTGACCATAGCTCACTGTAGCCTTAAACTCCTGGCCTCAAGAGATACTCCTCAGGTCTCAGCCTCCCAAGTAGCTGAGATTACAGACATGCAGCACCTTGCCTGGCTAATTTTTAGAAAAATTTCTGGGCCGGGCACGTTGGCTCACGCCTGTAATCCCAGCACTTTGGGAGGCCGAGGCGGGCAGATCACGAGGTCAGGAGATCAAGACCATCCTGGCTAACATGGTGAAACCCCGTCTCTACTAAAAATACAAAAAAAATTAGCCGGGCGTGGTGGCGGGCACCTATAGTCCCAGCTACTCTGGAGGTTGAGGCAGGAGAATGGCATGAACCCAGGAGGTGGAGCTTGCAGTGAGCCAAGATCGTGCCACTGCACTCCATCCAGGGCGACGAGCAAGGCTCCGTCTCAAAAAAAAAAAAAAAAAAAATTTCTGTAGAGAAATGTTGGTCACGCTGGTCTTAAACTCTTGCCTCAAGAGATCCTCCCACCTCGGCCTCCCAAAGAGCTAGGATTACAGGCATGAGCCACTGTGCCTGGCCCATTCAAAATTTTATATATGATTTCATTAGGGTTCAATGATTTACCAAAAGAACATCGTGTTAGTTAAGGGTCTTCATGATGAGGTGAAAGAATCCTAACTCTATCTTGCTGGGGTGAAATGAAACCAGACTTTGGAAGTGCAGTAAATCAGCAGTGGAACTGAGGGACTTTTAGGATCCCCCTTTCCTCTCTATTTTACTTCCTTTTGTCACTCAGCTCCCTTCTCACATTTATTTTTCTACAAGGTTAGAACTCTGTTCATAAGCACTCCATGATTACTTTTTGCTTTGTCTACACTTCAGGACTCTCCCCTACAAGCTTCACTTATAAAATCCAGGGGAACAAGTCAGATCGGCTTGGTTTGATCTCATGCCCACTCTCTTGGTGTTGCATGGGATTAATAGGGAGACTGTTCAGCATGGAGTCTGGTGATTGATAGCACCTCATAGAACAGTGTGGTTGAAGTATGTGGTAACCCTAAAGAGATAATGGTATTATCAGAAATGGGGAAGGAATAGTGATCAGGTAAAAGTTTGGATGGAAACAGACTAAGCAGGCCAGGTGTGGTGGCTCACGCCTATAATCCCAGCACTTTGGGAGGCCGAGGTGGGCGGATCACAAGGTCAAGAGATTGAGACCATCCTGGCCAACGTGGTGAAACCCCGTCTCTAATAAAAATACAAAAATTAGCTGGGTGTGGTGGCGCATGCCTGTAGTCCCAGCTACTCAGTCGGCTGAGGCAGGAGCATCACTTGAACCTGGTAGGCAGAGGTTGAAGTGAGCTGAGCTAACACCACCGCACTCCAGCCTAGCAACAGAGCAAGACTCTATCTCAAAAAAAAAAAAAAATAGACTGAGTAAATGGTTGGGTAGGTAATGCTAGGAGTAAGTCAGGATAAGTGAATGAAAGAAAATAACAAGTCCTTGAATGTACCTTATGATACTATTAATAATTACATTGTATATCATTTGGCAAATGTTTGAGTACTTTCTTTATACAAGGCATTGTGCTAGAATCTGTGAGGGATAAAGGAGCATAATCATTTGGTCATGGAATAAAAGCTGTATGAATGACAGGGTGCCTGGCCCATTGTTAGGTTCACAATACATTGTATTTGTTTGTGTGTGTGTGTGTGAGACTGGGTCTCACCCTGTCACACAGGCTGGTGTGCAGTGGTGAGATCTCAGCTCATTGCAGCCTTGACCTCCTCGGCGCAAGCAATTCTCCCACCTCAGCCTCCTGAATAGTTGGGAATACAGGCTTGTGCCATCATGCCCGGCCAATTTTTGTATTTTTTGTAGAGTTGGGGTTTTGCCATGTTGCCCAGGCTGATCTCAAACTCCTGCGCTCAAGCGATCCTCCTACCTCTGCCTCCCAAAGTGCTGAGATTACAGGAGTGAGCCACTGCACTCAGCCAATACATTGTAAATGAATGAAGCTGTTGAATAAACTCAGATAATACCATCAAAGTGGCGTAAATGCTGTTGTAAGGTTTTAGAAGAGGACAGGGTAACTTTTGTTTAGGATGATCAGAGACAGCTACATGAAAGAGCTGGTAATTGGAATGGACCTTGGAAAGATTTTTGAAAACAGTGACAGGGAGGAGAGGAGGCGTCTGAATAGAAGTGACATGATATACTCTATATGCTGGGTTCTGTAGGATGTATTCTTTCTAGAGTTTTCTCTTTTTTCACTGTTTTTTTTGTTTGTTTGTTTGTTTTTTGAGACGGAGTCTCGCTCTGTCACCCAGGCTGGAGTGCAGTGGCCGGATCTCAGCTCACTGCAAGCTCCGCCTCCCGGGTTCACGCCATTCTCCGGCCTCAGCCTCCCGAGTAGCTGGGACTACAGGTGCCCGCCACCTCGCCCGGCTAGTTTTTTTGTATTTCTTAATAGAGACGGGGTTTCACCGTGTTAGCCAGGATGGTCTCGATCTCCTGACCTCGTGATCTGCCCATCTCGGCCTCCCAAAGTACTGGGATTACAGGCTTGAGCCACCGCGCCTGGCCTTTTTTCACTGTTAAAACTGTAAGAATAATATGTTTGGTATAAAGAAATCAAATATTACAAAAATAAAACAATTGAAGCCTTCCCCCCAAGAAAAATGTATGTATCTACATACGTGAAATTTTTAATATGATTTTTTTGGGGTTTGTCTCTTAGAGTTTATTTATTGACACTTCATTTTCCTACCAGTCCTTTCCAAGGCGTTTGACACCAAGGTTCAAGTTTCATTTCCCAGAGGGACCACTGATAATAGTTTGATATGCATCTGTGAGAGTTTCAATGTGTAGTTTCTTTTTAGTTTTCCACATTAATGTGGGGATAAGAATAATTAAATTTTAGTTCTAAATTTAAATTTAGAACTTTTCTCAAACATTTAGAAAAGATAGTCCAGGTGTGGTGACTCGTGCCTGTAATCCCAGTACTACGGGAAGCCAAGGTACGAGGATTGCTTGAGGCCAGGAAGTCGAGACCAGCCTGGGAAACACAGTGAGGCCTCATTTCTACTTTTTTTTTTCTTTCTTCAGATGGGCATGGTGGCGGGCGTCTGTAATCCCAGCTACTTGGTAGGCTGAGGCAGGAGAATTGCTCGAACCTGGGAGGCAGAGTTTGCAGCGAGCCAAGATCGTGCCACTGCACTCCAGCCTGGGTGACAGAGCGAGACTCCATGTCAAAAAAAAAAAAAAGAAAAGAAAAAAGACTATTAAAAGGGAGAAAAACACTCATATTTCTATTATTCTAACAAATGTTTATTATTTTTGTGTATTTTTAGTTATGATTCTTATTGTAAGGATATAATTTTTCATGCTTATGATTATTATGTATGTATTTTACTTTTGTCATACATGTATTGAACATTTATAGAATGGTTTACATATTCACATTTTATATATATACATGTTGAGTATCACCATCATCCAAAATGCTCAGGACCAGAAATGTTTTGACTTTCAGATTTTTTCAGATATTAGAATATATGTATTATTATACTTAACAGATAAGCATACCAAATTTGAAAATTTGAAGTCTGGGCGGGATACAGTGGCTCACGCTGTAATCTCAGCATTTTGGGAGGCCGAGGCATTCAGATCGCTTGAACCCAGGAGTTTAAGACCAGCCTGGTCAACATAGCAAAATCCTGTCTCTACTGAAAATAACAAAAATTAGTTGGGCATGGTGGCATGTGCCTGTAATCCCAGCTACTTGGGAGGCTGAGGTGTGACAATCGCCTGAGCCTGGGCAGTCAAGGCTGCAGTGAGCCATGATCATGCCACTGCACTCTGGCCTGGGTGACGGAGTGAGACCCTGTCTCAAAAAAAAGGAAAAAGAAAATTTGAAATCTGAAATGCTCCAGTGGCTATTTCCCTTGAGAGTCATATTTGCACACACAAAGTGTCAGATTTTGGAGTTTTGGATTTGGAATGCTCAACCTGTAGTATTTTATACTAAGAAATTATAATTATATAGTCATTCTCTAATTGTTGGGAATTTGGGCCATTCCTTTTTTCACTGTCAGCTTCATTGTACAAGTAACTTTTACAGAAAGTATTATTTTCATGGAATATACTACACAAAATTAGCTGGGCGTGGTGGCATTTGCCTGTGGTCCCAGCTACTCAGGAGGCTGAGGTGGGAGGATCACTTGCGCCTGGGAGGGGGAGGTTGCAGTGAGCTGCACTCCAGCCTGGGCGACAGAGTGAGACCCTGTCTCAAAAAAAAAAAGAAGAAATGTGCTTTATTGGAACAGATTCTTAGAAGTTTGAGAACAAAGTTGGGAATAAGCATCTGAAACACTTTTTTCTCTAGATGAAGCAGATGATGATGATGATCCAGAATATAATTTCCTGGAAGACCTTGATGAACCAGACACAGAGGATTTCCGGACTGACCGGGCAGTGAGAATCACCAGTGAGTCTGTGTTTATTATAAGTCCTGCTCTTGACTGCTTTGCAGCTGCCTTTGTTTACTTTGTAGATTTTTAGGGGTGAAGTTTGCAGCTTATCCATGTTAAGACATTTAAGTTTCCTTTACCCATTTATTTATCTGATTCTTTAATTTAGGTATATATTCAGAAAGCCCATCAGTTGTTCATTCATATATCCCACAGTCATGTATTGAGTCTTTACTGTTTGGCAGGGATTGTGCAAGATGAATAAGACATGGCGTCTGTGCTTTAGGAGTTCAGCCTAGTAGGGTGATAGAAACAGAAAAAGTTACAATACAAAGTGATAAATGCTGTAACAGGTTTTACATAAGGTATAATAATCATCTAAAAGAGGGTGTCATCTCCTAGTGTGTGATATGGACTAGGATAGGAGAACTTAGGAAGGAATTTGCAGAATGAAATGGTTTTTTATCTTAGTTTTGAAGGAGGAATAGAAATTTGGTGAATAGGGACAGAGAGGAATATTGCAAATAGAAGAGCATCTGCAAACCACAGAATTGTAAAACATCAAAAAAGTATGTTTGGAAAATAGTAAGTACTTTGGTGGTGGTATATGAGTGAAAAGATAGAGAAGTGGTAGATAAAATTAGGTAGTGTTTACATCATGGAGGATCATTAAGCTCTCAAAATGAAGTTTAAGGGCGGGCATGGTGTCTCATGCCTGTAATCCCAGCACTTTGGGAGGTGGAGGCAGGCAGATCACCTGAGGTCAAGAGTTCAAGACCAGCCTGGACAACATGGCAAAACCCTGTCTCTACTAAAAATACAAGAATTAGCCAGGCATGGTAGTAGGTGCCTGTAATTCTAGATACTCGGGAGGCTGAGGCTGAAAAATTGCTTGAACCCAGGCAGGAGAGGTTGCAGTGAGCCGAGATCACGCCAGTACACTCCAGCCTGGGCGACAGAGCGAGTCTCCGCCTGAAAAAAAACAAAAAACAAAAACGAGCTTTAAGGAGTAAATCAGTAGGAACTGATTCGGATTTTAGAAAGATCACTTTGATTTAATACCAGTTTCATATATTTATTTGTTAGGTAAAGTGAACAAGACTGGAGGTATGGAAAACAATTATGATAACTTGGCTTGAATTATTTGTATAAAAAATTATATTATTGAGCTAGACGTGGTAGCTTACACCTGTAATCCTAGCACTTTGGGAGGCTGGGGCAGGAAGATTGCTTGAGCTCAGGAGTTTGAGACCGGCATAGGCAACATAGAGAAACTTTGTCTCTACTAAAAATTTAAGAAATTAGCCAAATGTATTGGCACATACCTGTAGTCCCAGCTACTCAGGAGGCTGGGGCAGGATGATTGCTTCAGCCCAGGAGGTCAAGGATTCAGCAAACTATGATGGTGCCACTGCACTCCAGCCTTGGTGGCAGAGGGAGACCCTGACTCAAAAAAAAAAATTATGTAATTGGCTAGTGTGTCAAGCATAGAAAACATATATTTCATCCTGAAGAAATTCTACCTATGGGGAGAGAGAAAAATAGAAAATATATTTCATAAGCCATTGATTTTTGTTGCATGTATGTATGACCCTGTACTGGAATAATATACATGACATTGAGAAGGTAAGTTACTGGCTCTTGACCAGGTTAACGTCTATCTTGGATGTTTATAAAGCAGAGAGCTTTATAGAAACTTGAAACTTTCCTATGTTTTGCATAGGAAAAAAAAAAAAAACTTCAGAAACATCTTTTAATATGGTACAGTTGGGGATAAATTGCTTTTTTTTAATAGCAAAAGACTAGGAGGCAGAGAGCTTTATAAACATCCAAGATATACCTAATTAATGCAGTTCTTTGTGTAAAGAGAATTATATGTAAATACAGTCCTTTAGAACTTACATTTTATTTTATTGCTTTATTGTGCCTTTCATCTTGATTTTAAGATTAGAATACCATTTCCTTTGTGAAGATCTTTCATTTATTTTGATATATTATGACAAGGATAGTGGAAGCATTGAAAGGAAAGCACCAAGAATTAGAGAAAATATAGAATTTAGACTTTGAGAAAACTGAAAGGAGAATCTAGGAAAGTACAAGAATAACCTAGAAAAATCTAGTGTTGTAGAAACCAAAGGAAGAGTCTTTTGGCTAGGGCACAGTAGCTCATGTCTATAATCCCAGCACTTGGGAGGCCGAGGCAGAAGGATCGCATGAGCCCAGGATTTCAAGACCAGCCTGGGTAAGATAGTGAGATATTGTTTCTATAAAAAAATTTAAAAAATAAAATAAAAATTAGTCAGTCGTGGTGGTGCACACCCATAGTCCCAGCTACTTGGGAAGCTGAGGTGGGAGGATCACTTGAACCCAGGAAGTGGAGACTGTAGTGAGCAGAGATCCTAACACTGTACTCCAACCTGGGTCAGAGCAAGACCTGTTTCCAAAAAAAAGTCTTTCAAGAAGGACAGAATGGTCAACAGTGTCATATGCAAGTAAAGAAACATCTGCTTAAAGCACAAAAGCAGATCTTTTTATTTATTTATTTATTTATTTACTTATTTATTTATTTGAGACAGAGTCTCGCTCTCCTAGTCTGGAGTGCAGTGGCGTGATCTCGGCTCACTGCAAGCTCCGCCTCCCGGGTTCACGCCATTCTCCTGCCTCAACCTCCCGAGTAGCTGGGACTATAGTCGCCCGCCATCTCACCCGGCTATTTTTTTGAATTTTTTAGTAGAGATGGGGTTTCACTGTGTTCGCCAGGATGGCCTCGATCTCCTGACCTCGTGATCCACCCGTCTTGGCCTCCCAAAGTGCTGGGATTACAGGCTTGAGCCACCGCGCCCGGCCGAGAATTTGTTTACACTTCCTCTGAGGTGGCCTTTTTAGTCTCTGTTTGTATACTTTCAGTGACAGGGAGCTCAACGATTCTGCTGATAGTGTATTGTAAACTTGAACACCTCCTCAATTAATACTTTTCTTATTGAACCCAGATCTGAATGCAAATTCAGATACTTTCCTTATTGAACGCAAATTTGAATGCAAAGCAAAAAGATCAATCCTCTTATATTCCTCCTATTTGTCTTTATTTTTTTATTTTCTTTTGAGATGGAGTTTTGCTGTTGTTGCCCAGGCTGGAGTGCAGTGGTGTGATCTCAGCTCACTGCAAACTCCGCCTCCTGGGTTCAAGTGTTTCTCCTGCCTCAGCCTCCCGAGTAGCTGGGATTACAGGCACCCGCCACCATGCCCAGCTAATTTTTATATTTTTAGTAGAGACAGGGTTTCACCAGGTTGGCCAGGCTGGTCTTGAACTCCTGACCTCGGGTGATCCACCTGTCTCAGCTTCCCAAAGTTCTGGGATTACAGTCATGAGCCACTGCACCCGGCCTCCTATTTGTCTTTTGCTGTTAAAAAAACCAATTTATCCCCAACTGTACCATATTAAAAGACGTTTCTTAAGTTGTTGTTGTTTTTTTTTTTTTCCTATGCAAAACATAGGAAAGTTTCAAGTTTCTTCTGCGAGGTTTCTTCTTCTCCAAAGCCTTGGTGTCCAAACCTCTCACCACGCATGTTACTCTTCTCTGGATTCTAGCATTTATTTTCTTTAAACTTTTCCCCTGTTACATCTTATTATGAAATTTAAAAATATATATAGAGAAGTTGAAAATTATACAGCTAACATTCGTGTACTCACCACCAACTTTTTTTTTTTTTTTTGAGATGAAGTCTCACCCTTGTTCCCCAGGCTAGAGTGCAATGGTGTGATCTCGGCTCACTGCAACCTCCACCTCCCAGGTTCAAGTGGTTCTCCTGCCCCAGCCTCCTGAGTAGCTGGGATTAAAAGCCCCTGCCACCATACCTGGCTAATTTTTGTGTTTTTAGTAGAGAAGGGGTTTCACCATGTTGGTTGGCCAGGCTCGTCTCGAACTCCTGACCTCAGGTGATCTGCCTGCCTCGGCCTCTGAAAGTGCTGGGATTATGGGCTTGAGCCACCATGCCCAGCCTCACCTCCTACTTTCTATAGTTTTTTTATTTTTTTTGAGATGGAGTCTCCCTCTGTCTCCAGGCTGGAGTGCCGTGGCGCCATCTTGGCTCATTGCAACCTCCGACTCCCTGGTTCAAGCGAATCTCCTGCCTCAGCCTCCCGAGTAGCTGGGATTATAGTCACGCGCCACCATGCCCAGCTAATTTTTGTATTTTTAGTGGAGATGGGGTTTCAGCATGTTGGCCAGGATGGTCTCCATCTCCTGACCTCATGATCCACCCACCTCGGCCTCCCAAAGTGCTGGGATTACAGGCATGAGCCACCATGCCTGGCCAAATTTTCGATAGGTTTAATATAAACTGTGGGCCTTTCATATGTGCAGGTTTCACATCTACAGATTCAGTCAACCTTGAAAATATTCTGGAAAAAAAAAATGCAACAGCAGAAAATAATACTGGCTGGGCATAGTGGCTAACATCTGTAATCCCAGCACTGTGGGAGGCTGAGGCAAGAGGATCGCTTGAGCACAGGAGTTTGAGATCAGCCTGGGCAACATACTGAGACCCCATCTCTACAAAAAATTTAAAAATTATCTGGGTGCAGTGGTGTGTGCTTGTAGTCCCAGCTACTCGGGAGACAGAGTCAGGAGGATCCCTTGAGCCCACAAGTTCAAGGTTGCAGTGAGCTGTGATTATACCACTGCCACTGCACTCCAGCCTGGGTGACAGAGTGAGAGCTTGTCTCAAATAAATAAGTAAAAAATAGTACGGTATAACAACTATTTACATAGCATTTACATTGTATTAGGTGATAAGTAATCTAGAGATAAGGTATACAGGAGGATGTGTGTAGATTATATGCAAATACTACACCATTTTTGTATAAGAGACTTGAGTATCCTCAGATTTTGGTATCCATGGGCTCCTGGAACCAATCTCCACATATACTGAGGGATGACTTTATTTGCCTTATCATGCAGCTGTCCATCTCCCTGTCCATCTGTGGATGCATCTTAGTTTTCAAATGCATTTCAGAGTAAATTACACTTCACCTTTTTTTTTTTTTTTTTTTTAATTCAAACGAGGTCTGTGTTGCATGGGTTGGTCTTGAACTCTTGCAGTCTAGTGATCCTCCCAGCTCAACCTCCTGACCAGCTGAGATTACAAGCGTGCACAATGGCACAGTGGCACCTGACTATATGTCATTTTTTTTTTTTGGAGACAGAGTCTCACTCTGGAGTGCAGTGGTACGATCTCGGCTCACTGCAACCTCCGCCTCCCAGGTTCAAGAAATTCTCCTGCGTCAGCCTCCAGAGTAGCTGGGATTACAGGCTCGCACCACCATGTCTGTCTAATTTTTGTATTTTTAGTAGAGACGGGGTTTCACCATCTTGGCCAGGCTGGTCTCGAACTCCTGACCTCGTGATCCGCCCACCTCTGCCTCCCAAAGTGCTGGGATTACAGGCATGAGCCTATAGTTCACTTTTAACCACTTCAGCACGCATATAATGAACTAGAGCTCGATATTTGTTTATGATTTCTTTTTATAGGTGATTTTACACACAGTGTATCACACACATCTTAAGTGTACCATTTAATGAATTTTGACATGTGTGTACCTGTGTGACCCAAATCCCTATCAGGATATAGAATCCTCACCCCAGAAAGTTTCATGCCCCTTCCAAGTCAATCCCGACACCATCCCCTCAGAGGCAACCACTGTTTTGATTTTTTTTTCTTAATCACAGGTTAAATTTGCCAGTTTTAGAACCTCACATAAATGGAATCATATAGGATGTGCTTTGTGTGTATGTATGGCTTCTTTCACTCAGCATAATATTTTTGAGATTCATTTCTGTTGCATGTGTCATTAGTTTGTTCCCTTTTATTGTTGACTGTAATTTCATTGTGTAAATATACTACAGATTATCTATTTTTGTGTTGATCATCTGGGCTGTTTTTAATTTTGGGTAATGTTGAATAAAGCTGGTCTGAACTATTTTGTGCAAGTCTTTGTGGAAATGCTTCATTTCTGTCTCTCATTTGTCCCCACTTATGAATTAGAAAAGGCATATTTCATTTCTCTTGGGTCAGCTATATAGGAGATAAATCACTGGATCACGGGATAGGTATGTTTAGTTTTATGAGAAATTGCCAGACCATTTTCCAAAGTGGCTTTCCATTTTACGTTCTCATTAGAGTTCCATTTGCTCTACACCCTCAGCAACATTTGGATTTTAATTTTTTTTGTTGGCATGGTGGCGCACGCCTGTAATCCCAACACTTTGGGACACTGAGGCAGGCAGATCACTTGAGGTCAGGAGTTCAAGACCAGCCTGGGCAACGTGGTGAAACACTGTCGCTACTAAAACTACAAAAAATTAGCCAGGCATGGTGAATGAGAATTGCTTGAAGCCCGAAGGTGGAGGTTGCAGTGAGCTGAGATCGCGCCACTGCACTCCAGCCTGGGTGACAAGAGTGAGACTCAGTCTCAAAAAAAAAAAATTTAAAAAAAAATTAAATTACTTAATTGATTTTGTTTTTGTTTTTGTTTTTTTTTTTGTGTTTGAGACAGAGTCTCGCTCTGTCTCCCAAGCTAGAGTGCAGTGGTATGATCTCCAGTCAGCGTAGCCTTTGCCTCCCGGGTTTAAGCGATTCTTGTGCCTCAGCCTCCCAAGTAGCTGGGATTACAGGAATGTGCAACCATGCCCGACTAATTTATTTATTTATTTATTTATTTTCGAGATGGAGTCTCACCCTGTTGCCCAGGCTGGAGTGCATTAGTGCTCATTGGCTCAGTGCAGCCTCCACCTCCTGGGTTCAAGTGAGTCTCCTGCCTCAGCCTCCCGAGTAGCTGGGATTCCAGGTGTGTGCCACCATGCCTGGCTAATTGTTGTATTTTTAGTAGAGGCGGGGTTTCACCATGTTGGTCAGACTGGTATCGAACTCCTAACCTCAGGTGATCTGCCTGCCTCGGCCTCCTAAAGTGCTGGAATTAGAGGCGTGAGCCACCACCCCTGGCCTGGATCTTAATTTTTTTAATGTCCTCCTAAGAAGGGCCTTTATAAAATTGTTCACAGTCTTGCAGACATAGTGTTAGACTCTGCTCTAGTTCAGTGATATGTTTGCCTTGTTGGTTATGAGCCCTATTTTGGAGCAGCTGTGTCTTATTGAACTTGATGTCAACCAAAACTTTTTTTTTTTTTAACCTCAGATTCTTGTACCAACCAAAACTTTCAGGTCTTTTTCACATTATTTTTAAGCCATGTCACCTTTTCATGTAGTTAATAAACTGATCTTTAAAACTCTTAACTGTAGGACTGGGCACCATGGCTCACACCTGTAATCCCAACACTTAGGGAGGCCAAGGTGGGAGGATCACTGGAACTAAGGAGTTTGAGACCAGCCTGGGCAACATAGCAAGATGCTGTCTCTATTTAAAAAAAAACAAAAACATTCTTAAACATGGAACTTTAAATTTATCCCTATATGTTCCATCCAGTTGATTTGAGAAAATATAATTTTGAATTTTCCATCAGTTGGATTGGCAGTCCCTTTCAGCTTTACATCATCTACAGATTTGTTAAGTATGTTCTCTGGGTCTTTTAAGTCACTGATGGAGTTCTTGAATAGTTCAGATCCAAAGACAGCATCCTATAAAACCCTGTTGGAAACTTGTCTTTCTCTCTGTCTCTTTTTTTTTAGACAGTATCTTGCTCTGTCGCCTAGGCTGGAATGCAGGGGCATGATCTCAGCCACACTGCAGCCTCTGCCTCCTGGACTCGAGATTCTCTCACCTCAGCCTCTTGAGTAGCTGGGACTGCAGGTGTGCACCACCAAGCCCAGCTAAATTTTTTTGTAGAGATATGGTTTCAACATTTTACCCAGGCTAGGAGACTTGTCTCTTGATTCCATTCAGTACTGTGTGGATTTGGACAGGCCATCTAATTATAAAATCGTCTAGCTCACATTTTTTCCTGTCTTCTTCCTTTTAGAAGTTAAGCTTCATGCGAATAGATCTCTGTCTCTCTCTCTCATTCTCTCATATATCCCAAGCATCTAAAAAGCATAGTGCTCAATAAATGTTTTTTGTTGTTGTTGCTTTTGTTTTTTTTTTTTTTTTAGACAGGGTCTTGCTCTATCGCCCAAGCTGGAGTGCAGTGGTGCAATCTCAGCTCACTGCAAGCTCCACCTCTTGGGTTCGAGCCGTTCTCCTGCCTCAGCTTCCCAAGTAGCTGGGACTACAGGCACCCACCACCATGGCCGGCTAATTTTTTGTATTTTTAGTAGAGAGCCTCCCAAAGTGGTGGGATTACAGGCGTGAGCCACCGCACCCGGCCTCGATAAATGTTTTTGAATAAATGAAGGAAGGATAGCCAGTCATAGTGGCTCACGCCTGTAATCCCACCATTTTGGGAGGCCGAGTTGGGCTGATCGTTTGAGCTCAGGAGTTCGAGACCAGCCTGGTGAAACCTCATCTCTACAAAATATACAAAACTTAGCCGGGTGTGGCAGCATGCGTCTGTGGTCTCAGCTACTTGGGGAGCTGAGGTGGGAGGATCGATTGGACCAGGGAGGGGATGCAGAGGTTGCAGTGAGCCGAGATCGCGCCACTGAGCTCCAGCCTGAGTGACATAGCGAGACCCATCTCAAAAAAAAGAAGGATAGATATGAAGAATTTGTCATTCCTTGTTGAAAACATTATACATTGCCTTCATGGAATTCTTCCTTATTGTAAAATCTAATTTATACCAACAACATACTGTTTGGCTTTCTTGCAGAAAAGGAAGTAAATGAGCTGATGGAAGAGCTGTTTGAAACTGTGAGTAATGATCCTCAAGTGAGAACATGGGATTGTAAGTCAGTTCTCCAGCAAGATGTGTCATTTGGTCTCTGTGATGCTCCTTCTAGGAGAGGGGTCTGACTGAACCAATTCTACTTTTAGTCTACCTGGGAAAGAACATAATGACAAGGGAATTTTTCTAACTGCTAGACTCTTGATTATATACATGTATGTTGTTCTTATTAACATTTTCCTTGAAACTTCTTTTTTTTTTGAGGGGGGTTTCACTCCGTCACCCAAGCTAAAGTGCAGTGGTGAAATTACAGCTCACAGCAGCCTTGACCTTCTAGGCTTAAGCAGTCCTCTGTCTAAGCCTCGTGAGTAGCTGGGACATACCAACACACCCAGCTAATTATTTTATTTGTAGAGACAGGGTCTTACCACATTGCCCAGGCTGTTATGGAACTTCTGGGCTCAAGCAATTTTCCTGCATTGGGCCTCCCAAAGTGCTGGAATTATAGGTATGAACCAGCATGCCTGGCCCCTTGAAAATTTTTGATGACTTCCCCTACTGTCATTTGGTGTGTCCTTAAAGATTGTCAACTAGTTTTTTTTTTTTTTTTTTTTTTTTTGAGACGGAGTCTCGCTGTGTCGCCCAGGCTGGAGTGCAGTGGCCGGATCTCAGCTCACTGCAAGCTCTGCCTCCCGGGTTTTTACGCCATTCTCCTGCCTCAGCCTCCCGAGTAGCCGGGACTACAGGCGCCCGCCACCTCGCCCGGCTAGTTTTTTTGTATTTTTTAGTAGAGACGGGGTTTCACCGTGTTAGCCAGGATGGTCTCGAACTCCTGACCTCGTGATCCGCCCGTCTCGGCCTCCCAAAGTGCTGGGATTACAGGCTTGAGCCACCGCGCCCGGCCTGTCAACTAGTTTTAAACTACTTTGTGCACAAATAATTACCTTTTTCATAAATTTGTCTCAAAAGGTATTTCTCTTTAAGAGATTGATCATTTTGAGGCTGGGTGTGGTGGCTCACGCCTGTAATCCCAGCACTTTGGGAGGCCACAGCGGGTGGATCATCTGAGGTCAGGAGTTTGAGACCAGCCTGGCCAACATGATGAAGCCTTGTCTCTACTAAAAGTACAAATATTAGGCATGGTGGCAGGCACCTGTAGTCACAGTTACTGCAGAGGCTGAGGCAGGAAAATCACTTGAATCTGGGAGGTGGAGGTTGCAGTAAGCCCAGATCGTGCCACTGCACTCCAGCCTGGGCGATAGAGCAAGACTGCAAGACTCCGTCTCAAAAAAAAAAAAAAAAGAGAGAGAGATTGATAATTTTGAGTTATCCATGCTCTGTCCTTACTGTTACGAGTTGACTGGTTGAATGACTTCTTTCTTGGCATAATAGCCATCCTAAGTGTGGGTTTGTGGGAGTCCTGAAGTGAGAAGGTTCTGACATTGGCTCTTTCTGGGTGCCAGCATTATTAAAGTCTTGTAATCTGTAGTTTTCACTCTTTCTTTCCAATACTGGAGCAACATTCGAGACCCATTCCCCAGGAAAACCCTCCCTTCCCTTTGCCCACAGTTCCAAGATGAGATGGGATTCTCCAACATGGAAGATGACGGCCCAGAAGAGGAGGAGCGTGTGGCTGAGCCTCGACCTAACTTTAACACTCCTCAAGCTCTACGGTAGGCTAGTTGAAAGACCTTGAGATTTGGAATAGAGGAAAAGTTTATTTCTGAAAAGGTTTTCAGAAGTTGCAGTTAACAATTTTTCATCCCCAACCAGCTTCTGTTACTGATGTAAGGATGCAGAGCCCTGTCAGGAGTTAGGTGTCAGGTGAAGTCTCCTTGGTATGGGGCAGTGCAGCTGTAGGCCAAGCTGTATCTGTTTGGGAAGGGAGAAAAAACAGTAGCTGGCATCCATATCCACTTCTCCAGGTGAGTGGTGCTGGAGAGGTATGTAGGAATTTATGTGGCCAGACACACAAACTACCCCATATTGTAATATCGAGTCTGTCCCTTTCGTTCTTTTTATGTGTCATTAATATCTGCTAAATGTGACTGAAACTTTGTTAGTCACCTAGGCATTAGTGGAACAAACCCTGAAGCACCTGCAGTAAGGAGTCTGAAACGTATGTGCTGACGTTTCTGCCTGAGGTTGGCACTTGTGTTACAGCATCCAGAAAGTAGAGGCTTTAATTTTTTCCTCATTTTCTGGTGGATTTGCATCTGCACTTTATTCTGTTGTTATCCATTGCAAGTAGCAGCATATAGTCATTAGATGGATGGCTAGAGATCAGGATGCATTTTGTGCTGTAAGTGGAACTAAGCAAAGAGAATAGACCCTCTTAATTAGTCATGTGTCCTAACAGCATTACTACCCAAGTAGAAAGCTTGGGATTTATCTGAAAGCTAGACCTTTAGGGATTTTCCAGTTTAGTAAAAAAAGATAAGATATGCCAACCAATGTCTAAAAACTAGAAATACCAGTAATTCTCCATTACAACAAATATCACAGTACAGCTACATCAAAAACCTCAAGATTGCTAAGTCAGTATTTGACCCATTATTTTAAGTTACAGCTCATAGAACAAAATTCCATTCTGCTATGAATGGAACCATTCATCCTGGGAACATATAATGGGATTTGATCTATAAACGTGTTTTGGTTCTGCTGATCAACTCTTTGTAACTTCTTAAAATTTGGGAAGTATAGGCCGGGCGTGGTGGCTCACGCCTGTAATCCCAGCACTTTGGGAGGCCGAGGCGGGGGGATCACCTCAGGTCAGGAGTCGAGACCAGTCTGGCCAACATGGTGAAACCACATTTCTACTAAAAATACAAAAATTAGTCAGGCATGGTGGCGGGTATCTGTAATCTCAGCTACTCGGGAGGCTGAGGCAGGAGAATCGCTTGAACCCGGAAAGCGGAGGTTGCAGTGAGCCGAGATGGCAGACTGCGTGTCAGAGAGAGACTCTGTCTCAAAAAAATAAAATAAGTAAAATTTGTAAAGTATAGAAATAATTTAAAACTCCTGTTAGAATTCAGTTACCTTCTGGTATTCAGTAGAATAGTCATATATCATCTCATGGTGATACATTCTGTGAAATGTTATCATTAAACGATTTCATCATTGTGTAAATGTAGAAAGCACTTGGATAAACCTTGATGGTTTAGCCTACAGCATACCTAGGCTATACGGTATAACATATTGCTCCCAGGCCACAAACCTGTATAGCATGTTATTCTGCTGAATACTGTAGGCAGTTGTAACACAGTGGTAAGTACGTATGTATATGTAAACATAGAAAAGATACAATAATCTTATGGAACCACCTCTGAATATGTGGTTCATTGTTGACTGAAACATTATGTGGCACATGACTGTACTTGGGCAGTTGCTGCTTTTCTTTCGGTTGCAAATGCAAACCTGTTATAATCTTTGACTCAATAAAGCATCCTGGATTCTGTAAGTCCATAGATAGTAAAAACATCTTAAAACACAATAAAGAAGAGAGAAAAAAAAAAGAACAAAACAAAAACCCTGGGAAAGTGAGTTATCTGTGCCTCCCTTATCAGTTATCCAAGTAATATTTATTAAAAGCAGGTGCAAGGCCACGTGTGGTGACTCACACCTGTAATCCCAGCACTTTGGGAGGCTGAGGCGGGCAAATCACCTGAGGTCACGAGTTCCAGACCAGCCTGGTCAACATGGTAAAACCCCATCTCTACTAAAAATATAAAAATTAGCTGGGTGTGGTGGCACGTGCCTGTAATCCCAGCTACTTGGGAGGCTGAGGCAGGAGAAACGCTTGAAGGGAGGCAGAGGTTGCACTGAGCCGAGATTGTGCCACTGCACTCCAGCCTGGGTGACAGAGTGAAACTGCCTCTCAAAAAATAATAATAGGCCGGATGTGGTGGCTCACACCAGTAATCCCAGCACTTTGGAAGGCCAGGGCAGTCAGATCACGAGGTCAGGAGTTTGAGACCAGCCTGACCAACATGGTGAAACCCCGTCTCTACTAAAAATATAAAAATTAGCCAGGCGTGGTAGCACACGCCTGTAATCCCAGCTACTCAGGAGGCTGAGGCAGGAGAATCGCTTGAACCCAGGAGGCAGAATTTGCAATGAGCCAAGATCACGCCACTGCACTCTGTCCTGGGAGACAGAGACGCTGTCTCAAAAAAGAAAGAAAGAAAGAAAAAACCAATAATAATAATTATAGGTCGGGTGCAGTGGCTCGCGCCTGTAATCCCAGCACTTTGGGATGTTGAAGCGGGCATATTACCTGAGGTCAGGAGTTCAAGACCACCCTGGCCAACATAGCAAAACCCTGTCTCTACTAAAAATGCAAAAAAGTTAGTCGGACGTGTTGGCAGGTGCCTGTAATCCCCGCTACTTGGGAGGCTGAGGCAGGAGAATCGCTTGAACCTGGGAGGCAGAGGTTGCAGTGAGGCAAGACCGCTACATTGCACTCCAGCCTGGGCAACATGAATGAAACTCCATCTCAAAAAAAAAAAAAAAAATTAATAATAATAATAAATACAACTACGTGCAGGCTATGTTTCCATTACCTACTTTTTTATGCTTCTGGGCTTCTGTTCCTTTAGTGGTAGTAGTGCAGGTGATCAGGTTTTCAGTTCTCACAAGATTGTATAAGACCGTCCCACAGGCTTTAGGTTTTTACCCTGTGCTGCCCAAACCCACAGTAAATACTATAAAAGAAAGCATAATTTTTATCCCCAATAGATAAATGATAACTTTTTAAAATTAACTATTGAAAACATTTATCTATTGCTGTAATATTGGAGATGACTTGAAATATGATAACCTGCTTGTTGTAGCTACATCAACAGGTCTTTTTTTTTTTTTTTTTTTTTTTTTTGAGACGGAGTCTCACGCTGTTGCCCAGGCTGGAGTGCAGTGGCGCGATCTCGGCTCACTGCAAGCTCCGCCTCCCGGGTTCCCGCCATTCTCCTGCCTCAGCCTCCTGAGTAGCTGGGACTACAGGCGCCCGCCACCGCACCCGGCTAATTTTTTGTATTTTTAGTAGAGACGGGGTTTCACTGTGGTCTCGATCTCCTGACCTTGTGATCCGCCCGCTTCGGCCTCCCAAAGTGCTGGGATTACAGGCTTGAGCCACCGCGCCCGGCACATCAACAGGTCTTATCCTGATTGCATAGGGTATCAGCACGTGCTTAATCATTTAAGTATCTTATTCTCCTTTTATTTCAGAACTGTCATGCTGGGTTTTTCCATTTTTGCTTCAGCCCTGGAAACAGTCTCTCAGGAGGGTAGGGGTGGGAAGTTAGAGTTAGGAACCTTAGAAGAGGAATTTATTTGTTTATTTATTTTATTCTATTCTATTCTATTCTATTTTTTTTGGAACAGAGTCTTGCTCTGTTGCCCAGGCTGGAGTGCAGTGGCGCGATCTCGGCTCACTGCAACCTCTGCCTCCTGGGTTCAAGCGATTCTCCTGCCTCAGCCTCACGAGTAGCTGGGATTATAGGCACGCATCACCACAGCCGGCTAATTTTTGTATTTTTTCATAGAGACAGGGTTTCACCATGTTAGCCAGGCTAGTCTCGAACCACTGATCTCAAGTGATCCACCTGCCTTGGCCTCCCAAATTGCTGGGATTACAGGCGTGAGCCACCACGCCCGACTGTTTCTTGACCTTTTAATAATTGTCATTCTGACTGGCAAGCCTTGCTTTCTTAAACAAGTCAAAAATCTTCTAGCATGAAGCAGGAAAAGGATATACTAAAATAAGTAATGGTAGTTCACATGAACAGAACTGAGTGGTTAGTTCAAATATTACCCTACTGCTCTCCATGAGGGTATTTTCTTTTAGCCCTTTAAATTCCTCTTCCTGGCTGGGTGCAGTGGCTCCCGCCTGTAATCCCAGCAGTTTGGGAGTTCAGGTGGGTGGATCGCTTGAGGTCAGTCGTTTGAGACTAGCCTGGCTAACGTGGTGAAACCCTGTCTCTACAAAAAATACAAAGATTAGCTGGCCGTGGTGATGCACGCCTGTAATCCCAGCTACTCAGGAGGCTGAGGCAGGAGAATCACTTGAACCTGGGAGGCAGAGGTTGCAGTGAGCTGAGATCATGCCACTGCACTCCAGCCTGGGCAACTGAGCAAGACTCCATTTCAATAAATAAATAAATAAATAAATAAGCAAATAAATTCCTCTTCTAAGGTTCCAAACCCTAATTTCCCACCCCTACCCTCCTGAGAGACTTTTTTCAAAAACCTAGCATGTCAGTTCTGAAGTAAAAGGAGAATAAGATACTTAAGTAATTAAGCATGTGCTGATACCCTATGCAGTCAGGATAAGATCTTTTGGCCGGGCGTGGTGGCTCACGCCTGTAATCCCACCACTTTGGGAGGCCGAGGCAGGTGGATCATGAGGTCAAGAGATCGAGACCATCCTGGCCAACATGGTGAAACCCCGTCTCTACTAAAAATACAAAAATTAGCTGGAGCGTGGTGGTGCATGCCTGTAGTCCTAGCGACTCGCGAGGCTGAGGCAGGAGAATCACTTGAACCAGGGAGGCGGAGGTTGCAGTGAGCCGAGATCATGCCACTATACTCCAGCTTGACATCCGAGTGAGACTTCGTCTCAAAAGAAAAAAAATCTGTTTAGCTACAACAAGCAGGTTCTCATATTTCAAGGAATCCCCAATATTATAGCAATAGATAAATAAGAAAATGTAGTATTCCACCATGGAATACTATACAGCCATAAAAAGGTACGATATCACGTCCCTTTCAGGGACATGGATGGAGGTGAAGCCATCAGCAAACTAACATAATAACAGAAAAACAATACCGCATGTTCTCACTTATAAGTAGGAACTGAACAATGAGAACACATGGATGCAGGGTGGGGAACAACACACACTGGGGCCTGTTGGGGGGGTGGGGGAAGGGAGAGGATCAGGATAAACTGCTGATGCAGCTGGGCTTAATACCAAGGTGATGGGTTGATGGGTGCAGCAAAACACCAAGGTACACGTTTACCTGTGTAACAAACCTGCATGTCCTGCACATGTATTCCAAAACTTAAAATTTTGAGGGCCAGCCATGGTGGCTTACGCCTGTAATCCCAGCACTTTGGGAAGCCGAGATGAGTGGATCATGAGGTCAGGAGATAGAGACTGTCCTGGCTAACACAGTGAAACCCCATCTCTACTAAAAATACAAAAAATTAGCTGGGTGTGGTGGCACGTGCCTATAGTCCCAGCTACTTGAGAGGGTGAGGCCGGAGAATCGCTTGAACCCGGGAGGCAGAGGTTGTGAGCTGAGATCGCACCACTGCACTCCAGCCTGGGCGACAGAGCGAGACTGTGTCACAAAAAAAAAAAATTAAATTTTGAAAAAAAATGCAAGGCAGTGCAGCCTGAGTGGATAGCGAAATGGGACAAGCTGAACCTGGGATGGGAATAACAAGTAAATGAGGGAAGAAATGAGAATGATGAGTTCCCACCAGCTCCTTGGCTGCTTTCTTACCCATATATTTCTCTGTTCCTAGCATTTTGATTTTTTCTTCATTTGTATATTATTTAGAAGAGGAATTGTAGAGGAATGGGATGGAATGTAATATAGAATCATCATATTTGATGCATGCTAACTACTTTGGGAAAAGATTTGTATAAGGCTGGGAGTTTGATTGTTGACTAAAGTGAGTTGTCAGATTACAAGACAATGAAAATTGTTCAGGTTCTTTGCTCATCATTAGAACAAATTGGATGTGTTGTGGACCTAGGGAAACACTCAAATTCAGTCATCTCCCTGTTGGGAATAGGTTTGAGGAACCACTGGCCAACTTGCTAAATGAACAACATCGGACAGTGAAGGAGCTATTTGAACAGCTGAAGATGAAGAAATCTTCAGCCAAACAGCTGCAGGAAGTAGAGAAGGTTAAACCCCAGAGTGAGAAAGTTCATCAGACTCTGATTCTGGACCCAGCACAGAGGAAGAGACTCCAGCAGCAGATGCAGCAGGTAAGACTTTTCTTGGTCATGTTAATATTGGATTATACCAAGGCCTAACTCTGAGGCCAGAAATGAACAGCTTTGTAAAAGTCAGAGATAGTTACCTTACCACCTGCTAAAACCATAGTATCTTCACATCTAGGAGCTCGAGAAGTCATCATGTTCATGCCCTATGGCTCAAGGAAGAGAGCATACAAGGATACTAATGGTATTCAGAAATACAGATTTCAAAGAGTCCTTAGTAATCTATTCTGAAATTTAACAACCTTCACTGTGAGAAGTAGGTTTTTTTTTCCTTTTTCTAATCTCAGTCCCTCTGGATTAAGGTTAAGCTTCCTCTCGTTCTGTCATTTTGTTCAAGGGAATATGTCTGAGAGATTTATGCCAAGATTCTATGTTGTTCTCATACTCCTTTCAGAAAGCAAAATATATGTGATAAAGTTGCAAACATCTTAGTTATTGTCTCTCTGGGGGCTGGGTTATGGTGACTCACACCTGTAAACCCAGCACTTTGGGAGACTGAAGTGGGAGGATTGTTTGAGCCAGGGAGTTCAAGAGCAACCTGGGCAACATAGTGCAACCCTGTCTCTACAAAAAATAAAAATACATTAGCCAGGCATGGTGCCAGGCACCTGTGGTCCCAGCTACTCAGGAGGCTGAGGTGGGAGGATTGCTTGAGCACAGGAGGTTGAGAGGGCGTGGAGCCACGATTCCATCACTGCACAGCAGCCTAGGTGACAGAGAGAGATCCTGTCTCCAAGAAGAAAAAAAAAATCTCTCTGGGTTCCTGAAATGACAGTGTGGCAACATGTCACTTCATTATTTTCTTTCCATCCCCAGCACGTTCAGCTCTTGACCCAAATCCACCTTCTTGCCACCTGCAACCCCAATCTCAGTCCGGAGGCCAGTACCACCAGGATATTTCTTGTAAGTTTCCAAATATCCCTAACTCTAAAGACTAGAGTGTGAAATTAGCTTGGCAGGTTATTTCTCACAGTTATTCACTGATCATAATCTATATTTATTCTTCTCTCTTGGGTGTTTTTGATTGCTTTGCCTACTTTCTGTTAAGGCTTCCTGTGCTTGCTTCCTGTGTAAGCCACTGATTCCCATGAAAGGACAAGGAGTGTATTCAATTTTCTTAGTACTGTCCTTCTGATATTTTTATTGAATCCTCCTTATCGTTAGATCCAACCTAACTTCTTAGGTTTTTTGGTACCACTGTTCCTTTTATAGATGTTGAGACTGGGCACGGTGGCTATCCCTGTAATCCCAGCACTTTGAGAGGCCAAAGCAGGCAGATTGCGTGACCCCAGTAGTTCGAGACCAGCTGGGGCAACATGCTGAAAGCCCATCTCTACAAAATACAAAAATTAGCCAGATGTGGTGCGTACCTGTAGTCTCAGCTACTTGGGAGGCAGAGATGGAAGGATAGCTTGAGCCTGGGAGGTAGGGGTTGCAGTGAGCTGAGATCGCGCCACTGCACTCCAGCCTGGGCGGCAGAGTGAGATCCGGTCTCAAAATAAATAATAAAATAAAAGTAATAGTCCTAATTCTTGGCTGGGTGCAGTGACTCATGCCTGTAATCTCAGCATCTTGGTAGGCTGAAGTGGCTGGATCGCTTGAGGTCAGGAGTTCGAGAACAGCTTGACCAACATGGTGAAATCCGGTCTCTACTTAAAATACAAAAAATAGCCGGGCATGCTGGAGGGCGCCTGTAATTAATCCCAGCTACTTGGGAGGTGGATGCAGAAGAATCGCTTGAGCCTGGGAAGTGGAGACTTCAGTGAGTCAAGATCGTACCATTACACTCCAGCCTGGGCGACAGAGCGAGACTCCGTCTCAAAAAAAAAAAAAAAAAATGAATCCTCCATTCTTCATAATCTTCATTCTAGTTCGAGAACTAGACCGTATATTCCTTAGTGTTTCTCACTAAGTCTAAAAGTAAACCAAGAATACAATCCCTGAATATCTGGGAACTCAGGTGTAATCTTAACAGAGTAGTTTATTGTGAAAGACTTTATGATGATTTTTACCTGTTTTTATCCTGTAGTAGGAAGGTCAGCTTCTCATTTAGATTCTGAAGGCTACTGGTATTAATTGTCTGGAATTGTCTTAGATCTTCCTTGTGTCCTGTTTTCCCAGAAAGAGCTGGGAACCTTTGCTCAAAGCTCCATCGCCCTTCACCATCAGTACAACCCCAAGTTTCAGACCCTGTTCCAACCCTGTAACTTGATGGGAGCTATGCAGCTTATTGAAGACTTCAGCACACATGTCAGCATTGACTGCAGCCCTCATAAAACTGTCAAGAAGACTGGTAGGAGACAGATGTGTCAGCTTTAAGTTTTTACTTGCGGTGAGAGGTGGTGGGAATCTTATCCCATAGATAACTTCCTAGGATACTTGCCTGGGAATGGAGGACACAGGACATTTGTAATTTCTTTCTTCTCTCTTTTATCCTCCCTTCGTACTCATTATCTGAGTTCTAGAATTACATGATAATCTCTGGGCCTGGGTAAGGCATGGAGGCAGTGGACAGTATAGGAATATGGGAGGTAGAGATATGAGGCTCAGTGCTAAGAATTTGACTACAGCAATATGAGGGGTATTAGGAGTCAGATCAAAATAAACTGGGGCCTGGTAAAGATGAAAGTCAGGTAGTAAAGTTTGGTCATGTTTAGCTTTTTACTGTCTTCAACTAAGGCCAGGTGCTGTGGCTCACACCTATAATCCTAGTACTTTGGGAGGCCGAGTCAGGGGGAACACAAGGTCAGGAGATTGAGACCATCCTGGCTCACACAGTGAAACCCCGTCTCTACTAAAAATACAAAAATTAGCCAGGCGTGGGGGCACGCGCCTGTAGTCCCAGCTACTTGGGAGGCTGAGGCAGGAAAATTGCTTGAACCCAGGAGGCAGAGGTTGCAGTGAGTCGAGATTGTGTCATTGCCCTCCAGCCTGGGCGACAGAGCGAGACTGCATCTCAAAAAAATCAACTAACTTTATTTACCATACTGACTGCAGCGTTAGTGATATCTCCATTCTGAATGAAATGTTGACTTGGGAGTTACGCATAAATTAGAGATTATACATTTGCCGTGTTCAGTATTGTAAAGAAATTTGCAGGTTTAGATTCTACCTTGCGTTGGTTTAGTATTTTTTGAGAAAATATTTGCTATTTACTTAAGCCAAATATTTGCTTCTGATTTGTTTCCTGATTTAGCAAATTAGTTGTGGTTTGTTCTGGATTTGTGTTTGTCTTTGGATTCTATTTTAAATCCCTGAGTCTTATCGTTAAGTTGAATATAGTTGTATTTAAGTGTATTATATCGTAGACACAGATCCCAAACTACTTGAATAGCTGTATTAACTGATATGAAATGGTGATGAAAACTTGATTTAACACCAAATTATAATAATATCTTACACATCTGTTGACCTGTTGCTTTCTTCTGGGGATATAAAAATAACACTTATGGAAGGAGAAATACGGATATAGTAGTTTTGTCTTTAGAATTGCAGAGGTTCCTGAAAGTGAGAGGCTGAGAGAGGGAGAGAGAAATGAATGAGACTGAATTGTCTCATTCCTTTTATGGTTCTTTTGTTCCCAACCTCAGGAGGAATCTGGGAGAACTTAATGAAAGTTAAGTAAGAATCAAATAAAAGTAAAATTTGAAATACCAGATTTGTGAGGGAGATTAAAGAAGTTGGAATCTTATTCTGGAAGAAAGAAAGCATTGTTGAAGGTCTCTTATCCTTCGAGGATTTAAGGGGGGGAAGGAGGTAATTTTTGAGCATACACTATTGCCAGCTCATTTTATTACTAGGTGCTTTTTAAGTGTTTGTTTTACTTAGTGAATAAAGTGTTCCATGTAAGAAAGAATAAGAGTCAACTTTTATTGCCATTGAATGGGACTCCCTTTAGATACAATGTTAGCTTAAGAAAGACTGTGGAAACTCTTTGGGGAATGGTGGGCAGATGGGAGGGAATCAGGTTAGATAAGGACAGCTCTACCTAAATGCAAAAATGCATTCACGGGCTTTTTGAAGCCCTGTTTTGTCTTAGAAGTTGATTTATCCGAGATTTGTTTTCTTATAGCCAATGAATTTCCCTGTTTGCCAAAGCAAGTGGCTTGGATCCTGGCCACAAGCAAGGTTTTCATGTACCCAGAGTTACTTCCAGTGTGTTCCCTGAAGGCAAAGAATCCCCAGGATAAGATCGTCTTCACCAAGGCTGAGGACAAGTAAGTGTTTACTCTGGGGGATCAAAACAGCAGAATATCCCAAGGACAAGACATAGTTCCTTTGAGGAGTTTAGGGGAAGTAAGATTTGTATAATAAAACATGGACACAAAAGACAAAAGGAAGAGCAGTATAGATGAGCAGAGCCCTCTAGGGGATGCTTGTTCTAGCAGTGCCAAATACTGCTTTTTGGAGGAATGTCACACACATTTTTAAAGCATTTTAGACCAGAGATGGTGGCTCCCACCTGTAGTCCCAACACTTTGAAAGGCCAAGGCAGGAAGTTCGCTTTTATTTTATTTTATGTTATTTATTTATGTAGAGACAGGATCTTACTCTGTCACCCAGGCAATCACAGCTCACTGCAGCCTTGAACTCCTGAGATCAAGTGATCCTTGCACCTCAGCCTCCACGGAGCAGCTGGGACCCCAGGCGTGTGCCACCATACATGGCTCATTTTTTTGTGTGTGCAGATGAGGGTCTCTGTGTTATCCAGGCATCTTTCAAACTCCTGGACTCAAGGCATCCTCCCACCTTGGCCTCCCAAAGTGCTGGGATTACAGGCATGAGCCACCACACCCACCAGATTATGAACATTTTTATGGCCCTTTGTGTGTATTGCCACACTGTTATCAGCACATATATATATATGCAACCACGATTATCTATGTTGTTAGAGGGTAGTATTGGTGTCGGTTTAAGTTGCCTGACAGGGTACCTATTCATTTTGTATTAGTTTTACTAGAATCATTCTCCTTCCTTTGTATTCTCTTTGAAGTTCCTTTGTGTTGTTAGTATACAGCTCATCATGATACAGCTCATCATGATCTCACGTTTATTAATGATTTATGCCTAGTTTCTTATGTTCCCACGTAATTGTGAAGTATTTGATTTTTTTTAAATGGAGTCTCACTCTTGTCACCCAGGCTGGACTGCAGTGGTGCGATCTCGGCTCACTGCAACCTTCGCCCTCTGGGTTCAAGCAATTCTTCTGCCGAAGTAGCTGGGATTACAGGTGCTCACCACTATAGCTGGCTATTTTTTGTATTTTTAGTAGAGACAGGGTTTCACCATGTTGGCCAGGCTGGTCTCGAACTCCTGACCTCAAGTGATCTGCCTGCCTCGGCATCCCAAAGTGCTGGGATTACAGATGTGAGCCATTGTGCCTGGCCTTATTCTTATTTATAATACTTAATCAGTACTCACTAAGCATCTGAAATTTTCTATTGAGTAGTCACCAACTTGTACAAGAATTAGATTTAGAAAAAGTAGATTGGCCAGGCATGGTGGCTCATACCTGTAATAACAGCACTTTGAGAGGCTGAGGCAGGAGGATTACTTGAAGCCAGGAGTTTAAGATCAGCCAGGGCAACAAAGTGAGAACTGGTCTCTACAAATAATGGAAGAAAAAAATTAGCCAGGCATGGTGGTGAACGTCTGTGGTCACAGATACTTGGGAGGCTGAAGTGTGGGAATCGATTGAACCCAGGCATTCAAGGCTGCAGTGCACTATAATCATGCCACTGCTCTCCAGCCTGGGCATCAGAGCAAGACCCTGTCTGAAAAAAATGAAAAGGTAGATTGGGTCACACACCATGGCTCATGCCTGTAATCCCAGCACTTTGGGAGGCTGAGACTAGAGAATCGTTTCAGCCTAGGAAGTAGAGGCTGCAGTGGGCTGCAATTGTGCCACTGCACTCTGGCCTGGGTGACAGCGTGAGACCTTGTCTCAAGAAAAAAAAATAAAATAAAAAAGAAAGAGTAGATCATAAAATGTGTTAGTCTGGGGAGGCCCTTTAGAAAGAAGGACTGTGAAGTGAGATTTAGTGTCATTGCTCCTTTCTCAGTTTGTTAGCTTTAGGACTGAAGCATTTTGAAGGAACTGAGTTTCCTAATCCTCTAATCAGCAAGTACCTTCTAACCTGCAAAACTGCGCACCAACTGACAGTAAGAATCAAGAACCTCAACATGAACAGAGCTCCTGACAACATCATTAAAGTGAGTGTTTCCTGCATGCGCCATCCAGGCATCTCACCAATATGTACTCATTCATTTCTCTTGTTATTCTCAAAGAAAAGAGGAACCTTCTTTTATCTAAAGCACTGACAGTATTCCACTTATATGCTTTTTGTGTGTGTGTGTGTGTCAGACAGACTCTTGCTCTGTCACTAAGGCTGGAGTACAGTGGCGTGATCTTGGCTCACTGCAGTCTTGACCTCCCAAGTTCAAGCGATTCTCCTGCCTCAGTGTCTCTCCTGTGTCAGCATCCCAAGTAGCTTGGATTACAAGCATGCACCACCATGCCTGGCTAATTTTTGTATTTTTAGTAGGGACGAGGTTTCACCATGTTGGCCAGGCTGGTCTCAAACCTCTGACCTTAAGTGATCCACCCGCCTTGGCCTCCCAAAGTGCTGGGATTACAGGCGTGAGCCACTGCACCTGGTTTCTTCTTTTTTATTTAGATACTTATTTATGTTGTGTTTTTATTTAATTTTATTTTTGTTTTTTGAGACGGAGTTTTTGCTCTTCTTGCCCAGGCTGGAGTACAACGGCATGATCTTGGCTCACCGCAACCTCCACCTCCCAGGTTCAAGCAATTCTCCTACCTCAGCCTTCCCAAGTAGCTGGGATTATAGGCATGAGCCACCAAGCCCAGCTAATTTTGTATTTTTAGTAGAGATGGGGTTTCTCTGTGTGGGTCAGGCTGGTCTTGAACTCCCGACCTCAGGTGATCAGCCCACCTCGGCCTCCCAAAGTGCTGGGATTATAAGCGTGAGCCACCATGCCCGGCCTATGTTGTGTTTTTAGAGACAGTTTCTTGCTCTATCATCCTGTCTGGAGTCCATTGGCACAGTCGTAGGTCACTGTAGCCACAAACTCCTGGGTTCAAGTGATCCTTCCACTTCAGCCTTCCAAATAGCCTGGAGTACAGGCACGTTCCACCAAGCCTAGCTCATTATTTTATTTTGTGTAGAGATGCTGTGTCACTTTGTTGCCCAGACTGGTCTTGAAGTTTTGACAACTGTCAGTCTGCCTGCCTCAACTTGGCCTCCCAAAGTGTTGGGATTACAGGCGTGAGCCACTATGCCCAGCCTTTTGTTTTGTTTTGTTTTTGTTTTTTACTTGAGATAGGCTTTTACTCTGCTACCCAGGCTGGAGTACAGTGGTATCATAGCTCACTGTAACTTCGAACACCTGGGCTCAAGCATTCCTCCCACCTCAGCCTCCCAAGGAACTGGGATTATGTGCATGAGCTACCTTGCTTGCGTATTAAAAAAAAAAATTTTTTTTTTCAGAAATGGAATGTCCCTATATTGCCCAGGCTGGTCTAGAATTTTTCGCCCTAGGCAGTTCTCCTGTCTCAGCCTCTAATTGCTACTTCCTGGTATATTGGATTTAGGCCTTATTTATTAACCATTAACCATAAGCCAGGGAAGTTGAGGATTTATCTGTCTCCTCACTCCCTTACTCCCACCACAAACATGCACATTTTCTGCTTTCCAATCTCCTCGCTAGTAAATATGTCACAATTTTGTTTAGGTTGTATTCAGGGTTTACACTGTAAAATTTTAAGGACTGTATAAATGCTCTTCACATCTGAGCTTTGTTATTGTAATACCTTGCCTTTCCTGCTGAATGTTTTATTTCTCTTGGAGTAAATAATCACATTTTTTAGGAGAATGGGGCTGGACTTGATTTTATTATGTAATTATTCCCAGATCAACAGTAAAGGTTACTTAAATTTTCTTAATCTCCTTTCAGTATGTCTGGCCTTCTAGATATTCCATCATTTTCATCTTGAAGGAATTGCTCCCTGAGCCCTCTGACACTATTCCACTCTAAGCGTGTTGCCCTATGGGCTTGCTGCACTGATGTCTTCTTGGACTTTTTCTTCACCATAATCCTGGGGATTATTTTTGCCTCTTACTATGTTGGATCTTCTTATTTCCTGAATTCTACATCTTTGTTTTTGTTTTACTTCCTTCCCTTAGTGGAACACATTCTAGTAGCATTTTTCTTTAAATTTTTTTCTAAATTTTTTTTTTTTTTTTTTTTTTTTTTTTTTTTTTTTTTTGAGATGGAGTCTCGCTCTGTCGCCCAGGCTGGAGTGCAGTGGCTGGATCTCAGCGCACTGCAAGCTCCGCCTCCTGGGTTTATGCCATTCTCCTGCCTCAGCCTCCCGAGTAGCTGGGACTACAGGTGCCCGCCACCTTGCCCAGCTAGTTTTTTGTATTGTTTAGTAGAGACGGGGTTTCACCGTGTTAGCCAGGATGGTCTCGATCTCCTGACCTCGTGATCCGCCCGTCTTGGCCTCCCAAAGTGCTGGGATTACAGGCTTGAGCCACCGCACCCGGCCCTAAATTTTTAAAAATTGAGGCCATGTGTGGTGTCTCGTGCCTGTAATCCCAGCATTTTGGGAGGCCCAGGCGGGCGGATCACGAGATCAGGAGATCGAGACCATCCTGGCTAACACGGTGAAACCCCGTCTCTACTAAAAATACAAAAAATTAGCCGCGCGTGGCCGCGGACGCCTATAGTGCCAGCTACTGGGGAGGCTGAGGCAGGAGAATGACGTGAACCCGGGAGGTGGAGCTTGCAGTGAGCCGAGATCGCGCCACTGCACTCCAGCCTGGGTGACACAGCAAGACTCCATCTCAAAAAAAAAATTGAGACAGGTCTCACTTTTTTGCCCAGGCTGGTCTTGAACTCCTGGCTCAAGTAATTCTCCTGCCTTGGCCTCCCAAAGTGCTGGGATTATAGGCATGAGCCACAGCCCTATTTAACTCTTGAATCTTCATGTAACACCTGTTTTTCCCAACTTCTGATAGTATGTAAGAATTTTCCTTTGGCTCCAATGTTTTGAAAATTCATGATAATATGGCTTAGAATTTGTCTAGTTTCATACATGGTGCTAAGGCACTTGATAAACTGTATTCTGCTGCAGAAAAATCTTTTTTCTTCACGTTTGAGTTGTGTGTCATTTTCTGTGCACATCTTTGTACTTTTTGTTTGTTTCTTTGCTTCTTGGTCTTTGAGACAGACTCCTCTGTCACCCAGACTGGAGTGCAGGGAAGTGATCCACGCTCACTGAACCTTTGTCTCCCGAGTTCAAGTGAGTTTTTGCCCAGCCTCCCGAGTGGCTGGGATTACAGGCGAGTGGCACCATACCTGGCCAATTTTTGTATTTTTAGTAGAGACAGGGTTTCACCATGTTGCCCAAGCTGGTCTTGAACTCCTGGCCTCAAGTCATCTGCCTGCTTCAGCCTCCCAAAGTCCTGGGATTACAGGCCTGAGCCACTGTGCCCAGCTGTCTTTGTACTTTTTTCAATGTAGGGTATCAGTATTGTTCCACTTGGCTCTTTCCCACTAGTCTGTAAGCTCCTTGAGAGCAGGAATTGCTTCTCTTACATGTGTGCTTACCTTTTAGCACAGTGCCTAGGACATAGAAAACATTCTGTATATGTTGGATGAGCAGATACTGTCAATGGTTTTAGTTCAGTTCTCGTCTTCATTTATTCTTTTTTTTTTTTTTTTTTTTTTTTTGAGACAGAGTCTTGCTGTGTCGCCCAGGCTGGAGCGCAGTGGCCGGATCTCAGCTCACTGCAAGCTCCGCCTCCCAGGTTCACACCATTCTCCTGCCTCAGCCTCCCGAGTAGCTGGGACTACAGGCGCCCGCCACCTCACCCGGCTAGTTTTTTGAATTTTTTGAGTAGAGACGGGGTTTCACCGTGTTAACCAGGATGGTCTCGATCTCCTGACCTCGTGATCCACCCGTCTCGGCCTCCCAAAGTGCTGGGATTACAGGCTTGAGCCACCGCGCCCGGCCTATTTTTTTTTTTTTGAGACGGAGTCTCGCTCGGTCCCCCAGGTTGCAGTGCAGTGGCATGATCTCGGCTCACTGCAAGCTCTGCCTCCTGGGTTCACGCGATTCTCCTGCCTCAGCCTCCCGAGTAGCTGGGACTACAGGCACCCACCACCACACTTGGCTAATTTTTTGTATTTTTTAGTAGAGACGGGATTTCACCGTGTTAGCCAGGATGGTCTCGATCTCCTGACCCCGTGATCCTCGCGCCTCAGCCTCCTAAAGTGCTGGAATTACAGGCATGAGCCACCGCGCCCGGCCTATTCTTTTTTTCTTTTTTTTTTTAGCTGGCATCTCACTCTGTCACCTCGGCTGGAGTGCAGTGGCACGATCTCTGATCTCAGCTCACCACAACCTCCACTTCCCAGGTTCAAGGGATTCTCCTGTCTCAGCCCCCTGGGTAGCTGGGATTACAGGTGCGTGCCACCACACCTGGCTAATTTTTATATTTTTGTAGGGATAGGGGTTTTGCCATGTTGGCCAGGCTGATCTTGAACTCCTGACCTGAGGTAATCTGCCCACCTCCTAAAGTGCTGGGATTACAGACCCGAGCCACCATGCCCAGCTTTCATTTACTCTTAAAATTGAACTTTCTCAGGCTCTCTTTTTTTTCCCCTTCTCTTCTAATGCCCTTCACACCATCATTTGCTTAAAATGAAGCTTTCATGTGTCCAAGGTATAGATTACGATGCTGTCTTTGCAGCTGTTGAGCAGGAACAAATCTTACATAAGATTGCTCTGAGCATCTGCTTCCTTTTCTCTCTGTGACCTAAACTGTCCCCTTCCTGGCAACCACATAGAGATCATCAGTTAGAAAATATTGAAGAAAGATTTTACAATTAATGTAAAATCTTTAAATAGAGATTAGTTTAATTCAAAATGTACAAGTATTCAGCATATGCTATTTATATATATGTGTTCGTGGGTGTGTATGTGGTTTTGTGTGTGTGTGTGTGTGTGTGTGTCTCTCTCTCTCGATCCACCACCCACCCCATTCACCAGCCTGACAGAGGACAGTGTTTCCAGAAGGAATGTAACTCATGCACATTTTTTTCATGTTAAGTTTTATAAGAAGACCAAACAGCTGCCAGTCTTAGTAAAATGCTGTGAAGAGATCCAGCCACATCAGTGGAAGCCACCTGTAGAGAGAGAAGAACACCGGCTCCCATTCTGGTTAAAGGTACAACCCTCTTCCTCAAAGTCTGTGGGAGGCAAGTCACTGAAAGTTCTGAGAGAATATCAAGGGCTTCCTTAATCTACTAATGCTTTAGTTGTAGAATTAGGACTTCAGAAATCTTCCTCATTCACCTTTCTTCCCTTTACTTTTCTGCCCTTCACTGGGTGATTCTACATTTTCAAAATAATAGATAAAATAATAATTTGCTAAAGGAAATTCACAGAAGTTTCTAAAGTATATAATTGGAATGTGGTCTTTGTAGATTTGATATGCAGAGAGACTTTTCTTGGAAAGATGCCTTGAGCTTGTCTAAGGTCCCTAAAACCTAGAAAGCCCAATTGTTTTTCCCAAATTCTTTTTTTTTTGTTGTTGTTTTGTTTTGTTTTTGAGACCAGAGTCTTCCTCTGTCCACCCAGGCTATGGTGCGATCTCGGCTCCTCGCAACCTCTGCCTCCCAGGTTCAAGTGATTCTCCTGCCTCCGCCTCCCCAGTAGGTGGGATTACAGGCACATGCCACCACACCCAGCTAATTTTTATATTTTTAGTAGAGATGGGGTTTCACCATGTTGGTCAGGCTCGTCCTGAACTCCTGACCTCAAGTGATCTGCCCACTTCAGCCTCCCAAAGTGCTGGGATTACAGGCGTGAGTGACTGTGCCAAGCTTCTTTTTCCCAAATTCTGACATATGCTGGATCAGAGTGTTCTTGTTTCCAATAGGCCAGTCTGCCATCCATCCAGGAAGAACTGCGGCACATGGCTGATGGTGCTAGAGAGGTAGGACATGTGACTGGAACCACTGAGATCAACTCAGATCATGGCCTAGAAAAAGACAACTCGGAGTTGGAGGGTGAAACTCGGTACCCACTGCTATTGCCTAAGGGTGTGGTCCTGAAACTGAAGCCAGTTGCCACCCGTTTCCCCAGGAAGGCTTGGAGACAGAAGCGTTCATCAGTCCTGAAACCCCTCCTTATCCAACCACCCCTCTCTCCAGCCTAGCTTCAACCCTGGGAAAACCACCAGCCCCGCATCAACTCATTCCAGAAGAGCCCCTCCCCGAGCACCAAACTGGTGCTCCCGGATTCCCTCCACCTGATCCAGCCAGCCACTGTCTTACAGACAGTTCCAGGTGTCCCTCCACTGGGGGTCAGTGGAGGTGAGAGTTTTGAGTCTCCTGCAGCACTGCCTGCTATGCCCCCTGAGGGCAGGACAAGCTTCCCTCTGTCTGAGTCCCAGATTTTGCTCTCTTCTGCCCCTGTGCCCAAGGTAATGCTGCCCTCCCTTGCCCCTTCTAAGTTTCGGAAGCCATATGTGAGACGCAGACCCTCAAAGAGAAGGGGAGTCAAGGCCTCTCGCTGTATGAAACCTGCCCCTGTTATCCACCACCCTGCATCTGTTATCTTCACTGTTCCTGCTACCACTGTGAAGATTGTGAGCCTTGGCAGTGGCTGTAACATGATCCAGCCTGTCAATGCGGCTGTGGCCCGGAGTCCCCATACTATTCCCATTACCACCCTCTTGGTTAACCCTACTTCCTTCCCCTGTCAATTGAACCAGCCCCTTGTGGCCTCCTCTGTCTCACCCTTAATTGTTTCTGGCAATTCTGTGAATCTTCCTATACTATCCACCCCTGAAGATAAGGCCCACGTGAATGTGGACATTGCTTGTGCTGTGGCTAATGGGGAAAATGCCTTTCAGGGCCTAGAACCCAAATTAGAGCCCCAGGAACTATCTCCTCTCTCTGCTACTGTTTTCCCCAAAGTGGAACATAGCCCAGGGCCTCCACCAGCAGATGCAGAGTGCCAAGAAGGATTGTCAGAGAACAGTGCCTGTCGCTGGACTGTTGTGAAAACAGAGGAGGGAAGACAAGCTCTGGAGCCGCTGCCTCAGGGCATCCAGGAGTCTCTAAACAACTCTTCCTCTGGGGATTTAGAGGAAGTTGTCAAGATGGAACCTGAAGATGCTACAGAGGAAATCAGTGGATCCCCTGAGCGTGACATTTGTGATGACATCAAAGAGGAACATGCTGTGGAATTGGACACTGGCGTCGCAAGCGAGGAGTTGAACAGTGCTAGAGAGGTAAAGAAACAGACAGTCTTACAGAAGGAAGAGGAGAGGAGTCAGCCAGCTAAAACCCCTTCATCTTCTCAAGAGCACCCTGATGAAGGAACCTCAGGGACAGATGTGAACAAAGGATCATCAAAGAATGCTTTGTCCTCGATGGATCCTGAAGTGAGGCTTAGTAGCCCCCCAGGGAAGCCAGAAGACTCACCCAGTGTTGATTGTCAGTCAGTGGAGACTCCAGTTGGGCCAGAAACTGGAGGAGAGAAGAACGGGCCGGAAGAAGAGGAAGAAGAGGACTTTGATGACCTCACCCAAGATGAGGAAGATGAAATGTCATCAGCTTCTGAGGAATCTGTGCTTTCTGTCCCAGAACTCCAGGTGAGAGCTGGAGAATATTCTCAAGTATTTTGTGGACTCAGTAATATGTTTAATTTATTGATATGCCACCTGCTTGCTTGCTACACTATGGATAGTCCTAAAATCATTTTTATTTTATTTGTAATGCATTATGGAACATGATTGTGAGGTTGAGGTGAAATGAGATGGAAAGGATGAAATTTTACTGATTATATTAAACTGATTTACACATTAAATTGAATCACCTGACCATACTTTAGATGCCTTAAAAAATAGTAATTGGCTGGGCTTGGTGGCTCATGCCTGTAGTCCCAGCACTTTGGGAGGCTCAGGTGGTTGGATCACAAGGCCAGGAGTTTCAGACTGGCCTGGCCAATGTGGTGAAACCCCATCTATACTAAAAACTACAAAAATTAGCCAGGCGTGGTGGCGGGTGCCTGTAATCCCTGCTGCTCGGGAGGCAGAGGCAGGAGAATCGCTTGAGCCCGGGAGATGGAGGCTGCAGTGAGCTGAGATCGCATCATGGCGCTCCAGCCTGGGCAACAGAACAAGGCTCCGTCTCAAAAAAAAAAAAAAAAAAAGTGTAAATAGCCTGGCGCGGTGGCTCACGCCTATAAATCCCAGCACTTTGGGAGGCCAAGACAGGCAGATCACCTGAGGTCGGGAGTTCAAAACCAGCCTGACCAACATGGAGAAACCCTGTCTCTACTAAAAATACACAAGTAGCTGGGCGTAGTGTCGCCTGCCTATAATCCCAGCTACTCAGGAGACCAAGGCAGGAGAATTGCTTGAACCTGGGAGGCAGAGGTTGCAGTGAGCCAAGATTGCACCATCGCACTCTAGCCTGAAAACTATCTTCAGGTTACAGAAGTTTGTAAAAGGGAACTTCTTCCCCTCTCCTGCTGTCAGGCCGAATGTCAGCTATCACTGGGATTTCTTTTTTTTGTCTTGTTTTGTGTGTGTGTTTTTTTTTTTTTTTTTTTTTTTTTTGAGATGGAGTCTCACTCTGTCTCCCAGATTGGAGTGCAATGGCACAATTTCAGCTCACTGCAACCTCCGCCTCCCAGGTTCAAGTAATTCTCGTGCCTCAGCCTCCCAAGTAGCTGGGATTATAGGCATGTGCCACCGTACCTGACTAATTTTTGTATTTTTAGTAGAGACAGGGTTTCATCATGTTGGCGAGGCTGGTCCTGAACTCCTGGCCTCAAGTGATCCACCCACCTCACCCTCCCAAAGTGTCGGGATTACAGGCGTGAGCCACTGTACCTGGCCTATTGCTGGGATTTCGTAACTCAGGGAATTCCCCTCTGACAGCTGTGGTGGGCTCCCCATTGTTTAACTTCAGATTATCCTGATATAGCTTTGTGCTGTTCTGCAATTCATGAGCCACTAGGAGCCATTATAAGTACTCTTTGGAGGGTTTTACAGGAAACAATGGAGAAACTGACTTGGCTGGCATCTGAAAGGCGCATGAGTCAGGAGGGTGAGTCTGAAGAAGAGAATTCTCAGGAGGAGAACTCTGAGCCGGAAGAAGAGGAGGAAGAAGAAGCAGAAGGAATGGAAAGCCTGCAGAAAGAGGATGAAACGATGGATGAAGCAGTTGGAGACTCAGCTGAGAAGCCTCCTTCTACTTTTGCCTCATCTGAGACTGCTCCAGAAGTGGAAACCAGCAGAACTCCACCAGGTGAGTTAGGCAAGCCTATACTGAAGGACCAGTCTCACTTAACCTCGTTGTCTAGAGGACAGTGTTCAGAGTGGATAGCTTATAAATCAGGTGGAGGATTTCCAGAGGAAACCCTCTGGATCTGTTCTGCAATCCCCCACTCCAAAAACACGTTTAATGTGGTGTCTTTGTGGAGAACAGATACTCAGAAATTTTTAATTTGATTCTCATCCATTGTTAGATTTATATTAGCTTCCTTCACTTTCTTTTTTTTTTTTTTTTTTTTTTTTTTTTTTTTTTTTTTTTTGGAGATGGTGTCTTGCTGTGTTGCCCAGGCTGGAGTGCAATGGCATGATCTCGGCTCACTGCAAGCTCCGCCTCCCAGGTTCAAGCGAAACTCCTGCCTCAGCCTCCTGAGTAGCTGGGATTACAGGCATCCACCCCCACACCCAGCCAATTTTTGTATTTTTAGTAGAGACAGGGTTTTACCATGTCAGTCAGGCTGGTCTCGAACTCCTAACCTTATAATCCGCCTGCCTCGGCCTCCCAAAGTGCTGGGATTACAGGCGTGAGCCACTGCACCTGACCGTTCACTTCGTTAAACTGATTGTTACCTTATCTGTCATGTGTGGGGCTAAGACCCATGTTTATTTCAGGAAACACTGCTTGTTCCTCATCCAGACATAGTCTCTCAAGAGCACTACAGAAGCCACACTTGCTCTTTAGACTTCCTTTCTCAATATGAAGTAGCTGATTATCTTGTCATCCCAATTAAGGCAGTTACACTGCAGACTCTGCGTAGAGCTGACTTGACAGACTTACTTCTCATACCATTTTCCCAACAACCTTTTCCTTGACTTGCTCCATAATATTGAATAGGATTTGGCTGGGGTGGTGCATGTGGTGGAATGGGAAGAGCAGGGGTTTAGGGACAGAGAAACAATGTTTTTCATGTGTGCTACAAGGAGACAGCATCAAAGCTGCTGGAAAGGGCCGGAACAATCATCGAGCTCGCAACAAGCGGGGAAGTCGGGCTCGGGCCAGCAAGGACACCTCCAAGCTGCTGTTGCTGTATGATGAGGACATTCTCGAACGAGATCCCCTCAGGGAGCAGAAGGACTTGGCCTTTGCCCAAGCTTATCTGACCAGGGTAGGCAAATGCTGCTTCCTGTTACTGCCCGTCTCTGTGAATGTGGCTGCTTCCTCAAGGGAGATGTTTTTAAAAATGACGTCTGTTTTTCAGGCTATACAGCAGGCATCATATTCCTCTATGTTGGCTTTTCTGGCAAAAGATCTCTGTGACAGAACCACAAAGAGACATAGAATTCAATCATAAGTATGTTTATTGTTAATACCCTGCCATCATCCTTCTGTTTACTAGAGATTGGCAGAAAAATGATACCACCATCATCAGTGGGAGGTTGTGACTTTATTAGGTGGGCTGATAAGGACCTTTATAGAACCTTTGGCTTGAGAAGAAAGACAGTGGGTACACTGGCCAGCAAGTGGATTTCAGAGAAATACATTGCTCTTAAGACATGAACCAGCTGGGCATGGTGGTTCACATCTATGATCCCAGCACTTTGGGAGGCCAAGGCAGGTGGATCACCTGAGATCAGGAGTTCGAGACCAGCCTGGCCAACATGGTGAAAACCTGTCTCTACTAAAATACAAAAATTAGCTGGGCGTGGTGGCAGGCGCCTGTAATCCTAGCTACGGGGGAGGCTGAGGCACAAGAATCATTTGAACCCGGGAGATGGAAGTTGCAGTGAGCCGAGATCGCACCACTGCACTCCAGCCTTGGTGACAGGGTGAGACTGTGTCTCAAAAAAAAAAGAAAAGACATGAACCAGGCTGGGCGTTGTGGCCCTTGCATATAATCCCAGCACTTTGGGAGGCTACAGTAGGAGGATTCCTTGAGTCCAGGAGTTCAAGACAAGCCTGGGCAACATAGGAGACCTCCAACTCTACAAAAATTAAAAAATCAACTAAGCATGGTGGTACATGCCTGTAGTCCTCGCTACTTTGGGAGGCTGAGGTGGAAGGATGACTTGGGCCCAGGTGGTTGAGGCTGCAGTGAGCCATAATTGCATCAGTGCACTCCAGCCTGGGCAACAGAATGAGACCCTGTCTCAAAAAAAAAAAAAAAAAAAGGCCGGGCGCGGTGGCTCAAGCCTGTAATCCCAGCACTTTGGGAGGCCGAGGCGGGCGGATCACAAGGTCAGGAGATCGAGACCACAGTGAAACCCCGTCTCTACTAAAAATACAAAAAATTAGCCGGGCGCGGTGGCGGGCGCCTGTAGTCCCAGCTACTCAGGAGGCTGAGGCAGGAGAATGGCGTGAACCCAGGAGGCGGAGCTTGCAGTGAGCTGAGATCGCGCCACTGCACTCCAGCCTGGGCGACAGAGCGAGACTCCGTCTCAAAAAAAAAAAAAAAAAAAAAAGACGTAAGGTAGTGTCCTGGAGAACTATATCCTTCTGTTGGTAACCACCTGGTTCCTTTATCCCCCTGGAAAGCAGAATACTGGCAATGATAGTCATAGCTTTTTCTTATCTCCTAGTATTTTACTGATATTCCTAACTTAGGTATTATTTACTCTCAGATTACGCCCATGCTGAAATACATGTACAAACACATGTTACCTATTTCATTATGAGGATGTAATCAGTAAGGAAACGTTAGGGCTGCAACCCAGAGAAAAGCATTACTTGGTTTTGTGGGTAGAGCTGTGGAACTTGGAAAATGTTTTTTTACTTGCTCACTCCCAGAAAAAGATCTTTACCTTGCCTATTGCTCTGTGTCTTCCATTAACAGTCAGATGTTAAGATCTGTTGGAGGTACAGCCTCCGATGGATAATTCTTGGAGCTCTGTAACCATAACCCTGCCTTCTCCCTTGTACCCTTATTGCTTGTTGTGGCCCAAATAAAGGGTGTTGATGATTGAAAGTCTTCCCGTGTAGGTACGAGAAGCCCTACAACATATCCCTGGCAAGTATGAAGACTTCCTTCAAGTCATCTATGAATTTGAGTCAAGTACCCAGAGACAGACGGCTGTAGATCTCTACAAAAGCCTGCAAATTCTGCTCCAAGACTGGCCTCAGCTGTTGAAAGACTTTGCTGCTTTCCTGTTACCTGAGCAAGCTCTGGCCTGTGGATTAGTAAGTGAATGGGGAAAATAAGTACACTAGGACTTCTGGGTCAGAGTGAGACTGGGATTGAATGGGGTTGAATAAGACTGTTTCAATCTCCCAACTCCTTCCAGACACACAGACGTCCCCTAGCCCAGAGTGATAAGAGCCTCTGTCTTTTCAAGGGATTATCTTTCCAATCCCATGCTCCCATTTTCTTTACATGATAAATGAGAGGGTTTTACCTGTAGTTGCCAAAGGAGACTTTGGGTGAGGCATATGCTCTCTGCTTCTCACTGGTATCAAGCCAGACATTCATTTAACAAGTATTTGTTAAGTGCCTCCTAACTGTCAGACAATTCCTGACCTCAATTGCTAGGAATATAGCAATTACAAAAGACTAAAATCCCTGCCCTCATGGAGCTTATGTTTTCATGGGGAAGTTCAGATGATACTCCAGAAAACATATATATATAATATATAAAACATAAATTATAAAAAGAAGTATAAACAGTGAAATATGTAGTATACAATGTTTTACAGTGATCATGTTTTACAGAAAAATAAAGCAGGAAAGGAAACTAGAGGGGTGGTTTTATACACAGTGGTCTAGGAAGGCCACTGTGGTACGGTAACATGTAAAATGTTGCAGAATAGGAGGCTAAACATGAGGGATATCCCAGTAGTCCTGGACTTCTTGTCACAAAAATAGGAACAAAGGGAGGAATGAGATTATTCTAAGAGTTTTATTAGGGTTAAGTGACAGTGGGGTAGTTCTGTGTATAATGTGTGATGCCCGTTTTCTCTTCTGGTATTATTATGAGGATCCAATCAGTGTATATGTGAAAAAAAAATTTTTATTTTATTTTTTTGAGATAGAGTTTCGCTCTTGTTGCCCAGGCTGGAGTGCAGTGGTGCGATCTCTGCTCACTGCACCCTCCACCTCCCAGGTTCAAGCGATTCTCCTGCCTCAGCCTCCCGAATAGCTGGGATTACGGGCATGCACCACCACGCGTAGCTAATTTTGTATTTTTAGTAAAGATGGGGTTTCTCCATGTTGGTCAGGCTGGTCTTGAACTCCAGACCTCAGGTGATCCGCCCGCCTCAGCCTCCCAAATTGCTGGGATTACAGGTGTGAGCCACTATGCTTGGCCAAAATTTTTTTTTTTTTTTTTTTTTTGAGACGAAGTCTCACTCTGTCACCCAGGCTGGAGTCCAATGGTGCGATCTCAGCTTGCTGCAACCTGCACCTCTCAGGTTCAAGCAATTCTCCTGCCTCAGCCTCCTGAGTAGCTGGGACTACAGGCGCCCGCCACCACACCCAGCTAGATTTTTTTGTATTTTTAATAGAGACAGGGTTTCACCGTGTTAGCCAGGATGGTCTTGATCTCTTGACCTTGTGGTCTGCCCGCCTTGGCCTCCCAAAGTGCTGGGATTACAGGCATGAGCCACTGCGCCTGGCTAAAAATTTTTTAAAGAGATAATGTCGACCAGGTATAGTGGCTCACACCTGTAATCCCAGCACTTTGGGAGGCCAAGGCTGGTGGATGGCTTGAGCTCAGGAGTTTGAGGCCAGCCTGGACAACGTACCAAGACCCCATCTTTACATAAAATTTAAAAATTAACTGGGTGTGATGGTGCACACCTTTGGTCCTAGCTATTTGGGTGGCTGAGGTTGGGGGGGACCACTTGAGCCTGAGAGGTTGAGGCTTCACTGAGCCATGATTGCTTCACTGCATTCCAGTTTGGATGACAAGAGCAAGACCTTGTCTCAAAAAAAGAGAGAGAGACAATGGCCAGGCACAGTGGCTGGTACCTGTAATCCCAGCACTTTGGGAGACTGAGGTGGGAGGATCCCTTGTAGCCAGGAGTTTTGTTGTTGTTGTTGTTATTGTTGTTGTTTTTTGAGGCAAAGTCTCACTCTGTCACCCAGGCTGGAGTGCAGTGGCACGATCTGTGCTCACTGCAACCTCTGCCTCCAGGTTCAAGTGATTCTCCTGCCTCAGCCTTCCTGGTAGCGGGGATTACAGGCATGCACAACCGTACCTGTCTAATTTTTGTATTTTTAGTAGAGATGGGGTTTCACCATGTTGGTCAGGGTGGTCTTGAACTCCTGACCTCAGGTGATTTGCCCACCTCGGCTTCCCAAAGTGCTGGGATTACAGGCGTCAGCCACTGTGCCTGGCCTGTAGCCAGGAGTTTGAGACGAGCCTGGACAACACAGGCCCCTGGGATTCTCCTGCCTCAGCCTCCCAAGTAGCTCAAGCTACAGGTGTACACCATGACCCCTGCCTAATTTTTAAATTTTTCTGTAGAGACATAGTCTCACTGTGTTGCTCGTCTTGAATTCCTGGCCTTAAACGATCCTCCTGCCTTGGCCTCCCAACATGGGATTACAGGCATTACAGGGATTGCATGGGATTACATGAGCCACCTTGTGTAGCCTGAAAATTCTTTGTAATATAAACTCTAAAGTATCATATGAATTTTGGTGTCTTGATTTCACAATTCATAAAACAGCAAACACTTTGAAACACGTACATCTCTTGAAGCTGTTGCTCACATCTTAATTGCTTTGGGTGGCTACCCACCAGTGGTCCAAGGTGGATGGAGGTTAGGGTTTTAAATTAGATCTCATAGTTGTAAACTAGAATTTTAAACCAGGATTCTGTCATCTCTTGTGTCCTGGTCCACTAGTTCTTATCCTTAGAACCCTCAAGTCCTGCTCTAGCTGTATTGTGACTCCTCTTTTGTCCACTTTGCACTCTGGTAGTTTGAGGAGCAGCAGGCTTTTGAGAAGAGCCGCAAGTTCCTTCGGCAGCTGGAGATTTGCTTTGCAGAGAACCCCTCACACCACCAGAAGATTATCAAGGTCCTCCAGGGCTGTGCAGACTGCCTTCCGCAGGAGATCACCGAGGTATTCTTTCCTGTCCTGCTTTCTTCCTGTTGTCTTCTGGGCCTTAGGCCTTTCCCTTGTCTCTTTCCCCAACCTACTCCATACCTTTTTGCCTCTGGAGTGTCATGGGCTTCCTGGAGGAGATGAACAAGGCAAGGACTTTTTAGGCTTACCCAAAGCATAAAGCACTGGGGTAGGGAGGGATTGCTACCTGAAACCAGAGCCTGTCTAATCTTCACAGGCTCAGGAATGCCATGGATGTCCTGGAAGGGATGTTCAAGGACGGAGGTTCTGGGACATGGGAGGGGCCTTACCTCCTTGCTCTGCTTGGGGTAGTGTCCTAGCTGGAGACCAGTAGGGCAGAGTGGAGAGTGGGATCGTTAGGAGTCAAATCTAGTATTAGTACCCTTCCCCTGTAGGCAGCTAAGGAGGAAGAGAAAGTTTTAGTGTTCTTTGTTACCAGGCAGAGTCTCTGTGTGTTTCCCAGTTGACTAGGAAAGCAGAACATGGAGGTATATGGGATTGGTTGGGAAGGGTAGCCTAGAGAGGCTCTGGAGACTTCCTCTTTCCCTCTGTGATTCTCCTCAGCTCAAGACACAGATGTGGCAGCTCCTCAAGGGCCACGACCACCTACAGGATGAGTTTTCTATCTTCTTTGACCACTTGCGCCCAGCAGCTAGCCGGATGGGTGACTTTGAAGAGATCAATTGGACTGAGGAGAAGGAGTATGAGGTATAGGCCCTGAGGCTGCTGTAGCCTTATGAAGGGGGGAGGCCACACGTGGGAGGGATATTGGCCTGGTGTCTGTGCTGAGCAGCACCAACTCCTTCTCAGTTTGATGGCTTTGAAGAAGTGGCCCTGCCTGATGTGGAAGAAGAGGAGGAGCCTCCCAAGATACCCACAGCCTCAAAGAACAAGAGAAAAAAAGAGATCGGGGTCCAAAATCATGATAAGGTATTTTCTTTGTTTGTTTGTTTTTGAGACAGAATCTCGCTCTGTCACCCAAGCTAGAGTGCAGTGGTGTAATCTTGGCTCACTGCAACCTCCACCTCCCAGATTCGAGCGATTCTCCCACCTCAGCCTCTCAAATAACTGGAATTACAGACACATGCCACCACGCCCAGCACATTTTTGTAATTTTGGTAGAGATGAGTTTTCACCATGTTGGCTAGGCTGGTCTCGAACTCCTGACCTCAAGTGATCCACCCGCCTCGGCCTCCCAACGTGCTGGGATTACAGGTGTGAGCCACTGTGCCCGGCCTAAAATTATGATAAGGTATGCCAGGTTATTGAAAAGCATCTATGTTTCATGAATCAAGCCTTGCGTTTTCTCACTAATCATTTCTCTGGCTTACTATGGCCCAAGGTTTCTAGTTGAAAGACTCTAGGATCTGAGACAATCATGGAGAACAAACCAAAGGTCAGGCTGAGACAGACATGCAGAGCCTTTGGGAAAACAGTGCCGTTGTTGCAGGGGCCTTAGGATTCCCTAGTTAGAAGGATTTGTTTCTTCCCCTTTTCTCTCTAGCTCGGAGTTATTACCCTTAATTCAACTTTTTCTTTTCTTTTTTTTTTTTTTTTTTTGTGACAGAGTCTCACTCTGTCTCCCAGGCTGGAGTGCAGTGGCATGATTTCGGCTCACTGCAAGCTGCGCCTCCCAGGTTCACGCCATTCTCCTGCCTCCCGAGTAGCTGGGACTACAGGCGCCCGCCACCACGCCTGGCTAATTTTTTGTATTTTTAGTAGAGACGGGGTTTCACCATGTAAGCCAGGATGGTTTCGATCTCCTGACCTCATGATCCGCCCATCTTGGCCTCCCAAAGTTCTGGGATTACGGGCGTGAGCCACCACGCCCGGCCTCAACTTTTTCGTTTTTGCTCATGTGAGAAAATAGAGCCAATTGAGGATGAGCTTGTTGTTAAAAAAAAAAAAGTAGAAACAAGATTTCCCATATTAATAATAATGATAGAAGCTAATACTTAGTTGTATTACAAAGTGACAGGCATTGCTGCGAAGTATTTTAATGGATTATTGACACATTTGATTCTCACAGTAATCCTATGGAGAGATTGCTCTTGTTCGCATTTTACAGAAGACATAACTGACACAGAGAGGCTGCTGTCAGGGTCTTATATTTAGTAAGTGGCAGTGCTAGGATATGAACTCCTCAGGTAAGCCAGCTGCAGAGTCTACTGGTTGTCACTGCTCTTCAAGTAGTATTTTTTTTTTTTTTAATTCATGTTTCCTGACCAAATGTTTTTTCTCTTTCCTGGGGAGAAACTGCTTCTTAGTAGCTGTATGACCTTGAGAAACTTATTTAACCTCTCTTTGTTTTGGTTTCTTCATCATAAATTGGGATTTTAATGGTACTTATGTCTTGGGTTTATTAAACAGAGTATCATTGAGTGGGCCTTCCATGGGTACAAAGTTCTCAAGGGGATTGGAAGAGATGGGAGAGCTGAAGGCACAGAGAGACAGAAACAAAGACATTGTGTCTCATGATGGAGGTCTCCAGTGACTTTGCCTCAGATTTTGTCTGACTTAAATATTTCTTGAAACATCTGGGGCAATTGGGATATGTCAGTCTTTAGGTCATTTAGGGATTGTTTCAGGGATTCATAATAGACCTTAATCTAGTTCGGGCTATTGATGTCCCCAGGCAATGTGAGAAGTTGATACATAAAAGAGGAAGGGGTCCAGGAGTGGTGGCTCACACCTGTAATCCCAACATTTTGGGAGGTCAAGGTGGGTGGATCACTTGAGGTCAGGAGTTCAAGACCAGCCAGAGTAAGATGGCGAATTCCTATCTCTACTAAAAATACAAAAATTCGCCATAGGCTAGGTGCTGTGGCTTACGCCTGTAATCCCAGCACTTTGCAAGGCCAAGGTGGGTGGATTACTTGAGGTCAGGAGTTCGAAACCAGCCTGGTCAACATGGCGAAATCCCATCTCACTAAAAATACAAAAAAAAATTAGATGGGCGTGGTGGCATGCACCTGTAATCCCAGCTACTTGGGAGGCTGAGACACGGGAATCGCTTGATCCCAGGGAGCGGAGGTTGCACTGAGCTGAGCTCGCACCACTGCACTCCAGCCTGGCAGAGAGAGCGAGACTCTGTCTCAAACAAAAAAACAAAATAATAATAATTAGCTAGGCGTGGTGTGCAGTCCCAGCTACTTGGAAGGCTGAGGTGGGAAAATCACTTGAGCCCAGGAGGCAGAGGTTGCAGTGAGCCATGAATGTGACACTGCACTCTAGCCTGGGTGACAGAGCCGGACCCTGTCTCAAAAAAAAAAAAAAAAAGACATGGGGAGAGGGTGGGCTGTGTTGTGCTCATATGGCTCACAACTTTAGCTTCCTTTCTTGGTACCAAAAATATGGCCAGGCATGGTGGCTTATGCCTGTAATCCTAGCATTTTGGGACTCTGAGGGGGGCAGATCACGAGGTCAGGAGTTTGAGACCAGCCTGACCAACATGGTGAAACGCTGTCTCTACTAAAAATAGAAAAATTAGCCAAGTGTGGTCGTACGTGCCTGTAATCCCAGCTACTCAGGAGGCCGAGGCAGGAGAATCGCTTGAACCCGGGAGGTGGAGGTTGTGGTGAGCAAACACCGTGCCGCTACACTCCAGCCTGGGCCACAGAGTGAGACTCTGTCTAAAAAAAAAAAAAAACACAAAAAAAACTTGGCAGCTAATCAAGCCCAAGTATCTCCTAGGAGACTGAGTGGCCAGATGGGACCAAGGACTGTGCCTGCTCCTGCCACGAAGGAGGTCCAGATTCCAAGTTGAAGAAGAGCAAAAGGCGGAGCTGTAGCCACTGTAGCAGCAAGGTGAGGAAAGTATCAAGGGTACTGGTCCTAAGGGGTATCAGAGCTGCTGGGGGCATTGTTTGCTACCAAGAATTGTACCTTACTGAATTCCTAAAAAGGCATATATATATATATATATATATATAAAAAAAACAGTCAGTACACATATATGTGTACGTATGCAAAATAAATGGAATCTGCTACAAATACGTGATTTTGTTTTTTAAGGAGAATTCTGTAAAACTTTTGGAATTGGAAAAACAAAATACTAGTTAAAATATTTCCCTCAGGTATTAGAAAATGAAATAAACCTCTGTCATGAAAATAGTCTCTACAAGTAATCCTGGTTCTCTAGAGTGGAGTTGGTTGGCAGGAAAAACACAGTTCTTAGTAAGAGAAGGAGTTGTGGAATCCAATACTCTATTCTGGGCAATTTAAAATCCTTGGAGCAGGGAGGCAGAGGTTGCAGTGAACCATGATGATACCACTGAGCTCCAGCCTGGGTGACAGTGAGACCGTGTTTAAAAAAGAAAAAAAATCAAATCCTTAGAGGAGTAGCTGGGCAACAGAGGACTCCGGAGGCTCACCTGGGAGATCACTTGAGCCCAGGAGTCTGAGGCTGTAGTGTACCACCATGGTCATGCTTGTGTAAACAGCCACTGCACTCCAGCCTGGGCAAGATAATCTGTGTCATCTGAGACCCTGTCTATCTTTTCTTTTTGTTGTCATTTGAGAGAGTCTCACTATGTTGCCCAGGCTGATCTTGAACCCTTGGGCTCAAGTGATCCTCACCCCTTAGCCTCCCAAGTAGCTAGGTTTATAGGCATGTACCACTGCACCTAGTTGAAACTCTGTCAACAAAATTGTTGGAGCAGACATGCGTGTGGGTTGACTTGGTGAGCATCAGGCAGGGCTTCTTCCTTTAGTGTGCCCCAATCAAAGACATAGGCGGTCAGGACACCTTTGACCCAGTAGACCATCCCTGCAGGTCTGTGACAGCAAATCCTACAAGAGCAAGGAGCCCCATGAGTTGGTGGGCAGCAGCCCCCACCGAGAGGCTAGTCCTATGCCTGGAACTAAGGAAGCTGGGCAGGGCAAGGATGTGACGGAAGAGGAAGCCCCAGAGGAGCGGGAGAGCACTGAGGGCACCCAGAGCAGGACTGTCAGGACCACCAGAAAGGGAGAGATGCCTGTTTCAGGTGAGTGATCTGCCAACCCAGCCCTTCTGTTCCTGTCTCATTCTCCTGTACTCCAGACAGGAACCTCCATGAGCCTGGATAAATAGCCTTTTCAGGGATGGATATACCACCTCTTTCACTGATGTACCCATAGGAAGCCCTTCTCCTGTTCAGGCTTTTTCTGTCCTATGGCCTCACTCCTCTTGCAGAATTAAGAATGCCACAAATTTCACGCGATTCAACATTGTCTTTTCTTTCCATTCCTAAAACCCTTCCCCCATCTCCAAATCTACTATAATCTATACATCGTAAAGACTGGGCCATTCTCAGCTTTGGCAGTAGGACTTTATATCTTTGCATAAGTGACGTTATGCCCCCCCACCTCCACCCAACTCTTTTATTATTTATAATTTTTGTAGTGATGGGATCTCACCATATTGCCCAGGCTAGTCTCAAACTCCTGGCCTCAAGCGATCCCACCACTTTGGCTTCCCAAAGTGCAGGCATTATAGGTGTGAGCCACCATGCCCGGCCCTCTTTTGTATTAGAATTTTTGCACAGTACCTGGCCACAGTGACCTATGGTAAATTCTCGTGCTTAGGTGCATCTTGATCCTGACAGTACCCTGAGATCCTTATTTTCCTCCTAAGCAGGATTGCCAGTGGGGGGCACTTTGCCGTCCCCTCGAGAAGTGACTCTTACAGAACGGCTCCTCCTGGATGGCCCACCACCTCATTCACCAGAGACTCAATTTCCCCCCAAAACTGGAGCTGTACTGTACACTGTTAAGAGAAACCAGGTTGGGCCTGAGGTTCTCTCCTGCCCCAAGGCATCCCCCAGACTTCAGAAAGAGAGGGAGGGCCAAAAGGCAGTGGGTGAGTCAGAGGCTTTGATGCTGGTCTGGGATGCATCAGAAACTGAGCAATTGCCTGGTACCGTGGAACCCCATGCTTCCTTCCTGAGTCCTGTTTCCTCAAAGACCAGAGATGCAGGGAGAAGACATGTGTCCGGGAAACCAGACACTCAAGAGAGATGGCTGCCCTCAAGCAGAGGTAGGGTGAAGACAAGAGACAGGACATCCCCTGTCCATGAATCTCCATCAGGAATTGACACGTCAGAGACTTCTCCCAAAGCCCCTAGAGGGGGTTTGTCTAAAGACAGTGGAACACAGGGCAAGGGTCCAGAGGGGGAGCAGCAGCCAAAGGCCACAGAAGCTACAGTGTGTGCCAACAACAGCAAGGTCAGCTCCACTGGGGAAAAGGTTGTCCTGTGGACAAGGTAGGTAAGGGTGGATGACGTGTGTTTGGAAAAGAGCATAGACCACATCCATGTGGCTCCCTAGGGTTAATCATGATACCTGGGTTACAGGGAAGCTGACCGTGTGATCCTCACCATGTGCCAGGAGCAAGGGGCACAGCCACAGACCTTCAGCATCATCTCCCAGCAGCTGGGAAATAAGACACCTGCTGAGGTAAGTGGGAGTGGGGGTGGAGAAGACCCAGTAAAAAGAGGACAAGGTGGCCAACAAAGAGATAGAAAGGCCAAAGAAGGAGCTTTCACATCCAAGACAGTAAGTGGTTTTTGTAAAGGTCTGATCTAAGGAAAGGCTTGACTCATCAGGGTGGTAGTGGTTCTAGGACAGGAGAAAGGACACTGACTGCATTTTGTCCTTCCTGTGGAAGCCCCAGTTTCCATTCTAGCTTTTTCTTTTCTTTTTTTTTTTTTTTTTTTTTTGAGCCGGAGTCCTGCTCTGTCGCCCAGGCTGGAGTGCTGGCATGATCTCAGCTCACTGCAACCTCTGCCTCCCGGGTCCAAGCAATTCTCCTGCCTCAGCCTCCCGAATAGCTGGGATTACAGGCGCCCGCCACCCGACCAATTTTTGTATTTTTAGTAGAGACACGGTTTCACCATGTTGGCCAGGCTGGTCTCAAACTCCTGACCTCAAGTGATCCGCCTGCCTCGGCCTCCCAAAGTGCTGGGATTACAGGTGTGAGCCACCGTGCCGGCCATTCTGTTTTTAGGAGGCGTGTGACTTTGGACAAAACATTTAGCCTCTTGAGTTTCCTTAGCTATAATGACATAGCTCTCCCAACCTTGCTGTGTTGAATACATAAAAGATTTTGCAAATCAATATATAGTGCTTCATAAATGTTAACATGTTACTAAGGATCAGCGAATACAGCCCTTCGCCTTTCTTAGGTCTCCCACCGTTTTCGAGAACTCATGCAGCTCTTCCACACTGCCTGTGAAGCCAGCTCTGAGGATGAGGATGATGCAACCAGTACCAGCAATGCAGACCAGCTGTCTGACCGTGGGGACCTTCTGTCTGAAGAGGAGCTGGATGAATGAGACTCTGGGAATACTTGGGTATCATCTACACAGGACCAAACCCAGCAGGTGCCCTGTCATTAGGCAGGAGGGTAGTTGTACTCTGCTTGTACAGTCCTTGCGCCCAGTTTACAGACCGGGAGAGGAGCCCAGGACGAGGACAAAGGCTGGAGGATGGAGTAGGACCCAGGGGCTCTGCCATCCTAGGCACCATTCAAGGTCTTTTATGAAGACCTTACAGATCTCCTCTGTAAATAGCATCGAGTGAGAGTGGAGCTCAGCTCCTTTCTCTACTTTTTTTTGGTCTGATGGCACATATTTATTGTTCTGTGGTCTAATCACAGTGTTTCTAAATGTAAAAAGTGCATATGTTGGTGTAGCTAGTCCTGCAACATTGAGCTCCTCTGCACGAAGACACTGGGCTCCTGCATCCAGCTGTGTTTATTGCACACTAGCTCCTCTCTCCCACACTGGGAACGTTAGTCCACGAGGCTGTCACCAGCGTGGTAGCACTGGGCCAGGCTTTGTAGCTCCTGCAGGAGCTCTGCTACGTCATCGTGCTCCACTCCAGCATCCATGAAGCTGGCCCAGCGCCGCAAGTCGAGTTTGGTGAGGTCTCTGGCCAAGGCTTCCAGGGTCTGGTGCAGGGACGAAGAGGAACACAGTGCCCCAAACACTGGGATGCTCTCCATTGCTGAGGAGGGAGAGGAAAGAGAGACCTGTACATGGATGATTATTCTGCCCTGGGACTCTATCAAACCGATAAGGAAGTCCAACCTTAGTAGACTTGATTGTAAACTCAACAAATTTGGTGTACTGTCCCCTTAGTACACCAGTACTCCAGAAGAAGAATGCTTTTCTTGGGAGCCATAGGGTGAATAAAAGAATGTTTAACTGTGGACTTTTTCAGCACTTTTAATCCAGGAACGGAGATAGTAAAAACTCGCCCATACTTGAAATCTCAGTTTTCTTTACCTCCTACATACCTGCTCCCTTGGGGGAACCATCCAGAACCATACCCTGTGGACTGCAGCTTGAGAAGAGGTGGGGGTAAGGAGGAGCCACCCTGTAGGGAGTCAGCAGCAGATGGGAAGAACTGTGGGGGCAGAGAACAGACGCTAAGCGCGTAAGAAGTCACAGGAGGGTTGAGGTTGGCAAGAAGGGCAGGAGCAACCGTTACACTGACCTCATGACTCTAGGCTGCTGCTGTTGTAAATACTGAGCCAAGACTTCTTCCCCAGTGGTACATGCGTGAAGGGAGGAGGGTGGAGGTGTCCCTGGGGTGAGCTGGCTGCCAGAACAAAGCCAAAACCACCATTAGGCTGTGGCAGCATGAATAAGAAACTAAGAATTCTTATGTTTTCAGGCCATCAGCTGGATCCAAAAAAAATTTCTTTTTGCTTCCTTTTTAAGGGGTGGGGAGGGAACAATATCATTAGAATGTCCCAGAGAAATTAGGGGGAAAAGGATATGAAACAAAAATCTGACAAGGGTTCCTAAGGACCAACAGCTCTCACCTCGTGTGGCATGCTCTGTCTATACCCCTCAGCACCACTGACTGGGCAAAGCAACGTGTTCCAGAAGGCTCCCACATGCAGACAGTGGGGTCCATGGGGTGGCTCCTCCAAACTGCATCAGGGAATCAGGAAGGGACTGGCCTGGAGCCAAGGGGAAAGGAATGGTTGCTCCTGCTGTCACCACCTAAAGAGAAGGAAGAGAACACGTTAGAGGACATTTTCTCAGCACTGACCCAACCCCTCACAAAGCTTCATACCTTTTTCCCACAGAAGCTCAGCATGTCAGCCAGATGAACCATGGAACTGGAGAGGAACACAGGCGATAAGGAACAGTGACTGTGTCCAGGGCTATAGCCAGGATGGCACTGCAGTGGAAGGGCAGAGTGGCCTGTAAGAAGACACCAAGAGGGGCACTTGGCCTCAGGCCTGGAAAAGAATGTGTGGAGGCAGAATATTAACACCAGAAAGATCCAGGGGACAAAGCAGGGGTATGTCTGGCCTCTGGCTGGACAAGCATAGGGCATAGGACAGTGTGATCTGAGAGGCCACATCACAGCTGAGTTCAAGCTCGGGCCTCAGGAACAGAGCCAGTAACAGACAGCGGCTGACTGGGAGTATGAGGAGGCCCCGTAGCCTGCTGCAGTCAGAACGAGCACCGAGACTTACATCGTAATGCAGGTAAGGGAAGTTGACAGGTGGCTCAGGTCGCAGGCCCAGGCTCCCACCCAAGGACAAAGGACAGACGAGAGAGCTGTGAGCAGCCAGGTGTACGAGACCAAAAGCTGTGTTTAATAGACGATAGATGTTTCTCTGGGCCTCCTGGTGAAGAAAAAGAGTAGTTTGCATTAAGCAACTCTCCCCCTGGGATTCTCATTTCTCCCTCCCCACCGTGTGACTGCTTACTCCTCCAAGTTCCACTCACCCCACGATGGTACGGACCAGGTAGCAGGCCCCACGTTATTATTCCCCGCCCTGAATATTCATCTTGTAGCAGCTCTGCCGCCTTCGCGCCTACCCCAGAGAAGCCATCGTGCAGGTCACACAGGATCTGGAAGCCCTGAGCGGAGGTGAGTGATGAAAAATAGTTAGGGAGTAGGATGAGAAGAGCTTCTACCCTGGAGTGCACGTTGCCACGCCGCTACCTGCAAGTAGTCACATTCCTCCACGTAGAAGTGCAGCCTGTCCTCCAGCTCTTCCTGGTACTTGGGTTCCTTTAGGACACTTTCCCCTTGGCCAAAAGCTTCCAGCCGACCTGCTTCCCTGCCACAAGTAAACACAATCCAAGACTTACATCTCTTCCCTCAGCTCCTCAACCTCTTGTCCTGGGGGAGGGCAGGGAAGATGGCCTCAAGAGCCTCATCCTGCATTGGTGGGGACCCACGTTTCTTGCCTCACAGCCTCTGGGGTCCCCATACCCATCATGGTTGTACTTCTGAATCATACAGATGCTCCGGGGATGGAGATGGACTCTGAGGAAGTCTGACCAGACCCTGATGCTGGCCTCTGTAGGGATAAGTGGTTTTGGAGTTGTAGCGGTGGTGAGTGGTGGGGAACCTGAAGACAAGCAGAGGAAATGTACCTTTCTCCACGTTTCTGCTCTACCCAGACCCGCATCCATCAGTATCTGGAGAAGTCTCACCTTTGCCATTGGGAATGGATTTGACCCTCCAAACACCATCACTACTCAGCACTCCCTGGGAAGGGTGAAAAAAATCTACATTTAGTTCCGGGCAGTTTAGAGATAAAGGCTGGTTCATCCTTCTTGAGTTGGCTGGCCACACCGCACAGCCTCCTTTCTGTTCACCGAGTCGTGGTCCTTAGGAAAAGAAGTGCTTTTTCCCAAAATATCATTCTAGGACATTTAAAGTGATTAAAATCCCCTTTTACCTGCCCCTATGGAGGCCCTCGGGTTGTAGCACTGGGTTAAAAAGTTCAGGGCAGAGGCCCTCACCTCTGTACTCAAAGTCCTGGAGATAAGGGTTCTTGGGACAGAGTTCCTCTTTGTGTGTGGTGAGCTTCCCCTGCCTGAAAGAGATTGGAGATTGATCAAAGAAACCGCACTCTGATGAGTTCTCCTGCGTTCTATGTACATACATGTTCCCCACCCTTATCCACACATCAATTACACACCATGCTATTGCAGCATCCAACTGTTTGTCCCTGTAGAGTCCACCTTCCTCTTTTAGGGAGCTCAAACTACCTGTACAGAAATAACAGAGAAAGTTAGGTCAAAGCCTGGGGCGCCCTCCCCGTCTAGCTAACCTTCCTCTGATCACCTGACAACCTGCTGTCACCATCTCTCCAGCACTTGGCTCTTCCAAGCTTTCTGGGATATACACTAGTTCGGGCAGGGGAACCTTGGCCTAGGAGAATCCAGATTCCATCTCTCCGTTCTCAGCTTAGTCATTAGCTGTGGAACGGGGGCAACTACCACATCCAAGGGTCCGACAGGAGTGCTGTAGTTCAAGTCCTCTGTCTCTAGGGCCTAGCAGCCTATTCCCGAGATGGCTCTTGAGCAAAATAAAGTTTTGCCGTCCTGCGCCTCTCGGGTGTTGGCATGCTGTGCTCAGCTCATCTCCAGTCCTTGAGCTCAGTAAGGTGGGAGGGTCTTGAAGATAACGGCAGTGCAAGGGCTCGGCTCGCGGAAGGGAAACACAGGGCACGGGCTGACGCTGCCACCACCTCACCCTTCAGATCCATGAGGATGAGTCGCGGCGTGCAGGTATCCTGGCCGTGCAGCGTCTGGCCCGTACGATACAGGACATCGGGGCACAGCTCTCCCGGCGACTCCTTGGCATCGGTTGCTCGGCCCAGCGCAGCATCCTGGGGAAGCAGAGAGGACGAGGCAGGCCGGCTGAACGTCGGGACTGTAGATCCCGAAGGGCTCCTCGGGGGCAGCTGCCGGCCGACCTCACCTGCTGGTTCCACCAGTGCGCGCCCACGAAACCGGCAAAGTGTCCCAACTGCAGGGTGAGCACTTCCCGGGCCCCGCCCGCCATACTGCGCGGCTCCAAGGGACCGCAGCGACCCAGCCCCGCCGCTCGCTGCTCCTAGCCGATTGGCTTAGCAGGCGCGTGGGCGGGTGCCATTCTCGGCGACCTATTGGTCCGCAAACACATCCTTTTCTATTGGAGAAACGATTCGCCGATTCCTGCCTCTTCCGAGACGTGGCGCAGTCCGGCTTCTCTGTGGTTGCCTGCGAGGGGCGGGGTCCACGGGCCACGCCGTTGCTCCTGCTCCACGTTGGAGCGGGCTGGACGCTGCCTCCGCCGCTGAAGGGGCCGCGCGGAACGCTCTTCCTCGTACTTCCCCTGAGGTCTTATCCCTTCTCACAGATCTCCGCTGGCTGATAGCTCCCCGGGCAAAAATAAAACCTCTCCAGAAAAGCGGAAGCTCCCCTAAAGCCTCCCATGCCCTCTGTCTTCAGAAGTCACGCGGATCAGGACTAATACCCTGTGGACTGGCCTAGCTATCATATCTCTATCATTTACATGTATTTATCTGTCTCTGGTATCTAATACCTTATGTAAATAGAGTCTGTATCTGTTGGTGTCTTTTGTTCAATATGGTTTATGTAATTTATATTTTTGCATATATCTATATTTTTCATCGCTGCACCACCACTGATCTATTCTAAAGAAAGAATATATTCTGCTGATAATAGCTTTTGGGATTGTTTCCTATTTTGGGCTATTAGGCACTATGATTAACATCCTTGTGTATATTTAGAAAGATAAAGCAAATATTGGCCCGGCGCTAAGCCTCATGCCTGCATTCCCCGGTTTTGGGAGGCTGAGGCAGGAGGATCGCTTGAGTCCTGAAATTCCAGACTGGGCAACCTAGTGAGACACCCGCCCCCGACACCCTATAAAATAATTTTTCAAAAAGCCAGGCAGCTCACATCTGTAGTCCCAACTGGAGGCTGAGGTGGGAGGATTGCTTGGGCCCAAAAATTCGAGGCTACAGTGACCTATGATCACACTACTGCACTCCTGTCTGGGTGACAGAGCGAGACCCTGTCTCAAAAAAAAAAAAAAAAAAAAAAAAAAGCCAGGCGCGGTGGCTCAAGCCTGTAATCCCAGCACTCTGGGAGACTGAGCTGGGCGGACCACCTGAGGTCGAGAGTTCTAGACCAACTTGGTCAACATAGTGAAACCCCGTCTCTACTAAAAATACAAAAATTAGTTGGGCATGGTGATTGGCACCTGTAATCCCAGCTACTCCGGAGGCTGAGGCAGGAGAATCACTTGAACCCAGGAGGCGGAGATTGCAGTGAGCTGAGATAGCACCACTGCACTCCAATCTGGGCGACAGATCAAGACTCCGTCTGAAAATAAAAAATAAAATCTGAGACTCTCTTGTCTATTCTGAGCTCTTTGTAATTCCACATTTATTTAGTCTTATTTATTTAGAGACAGGGTCTCACTCTCTTGCCCAGGCTGGAGTGCAGTGGTGCAATCTTAGCTCACTGCAGCCTCAACCTCTTGGGCTGAAGCGATTCTCCCACCGCAGCCTCCCACGTAGCTGCAATTACAGGCATGGGCCACCACACTGGCTAATTTGTATTTTTTGTACTTATGGGGTTTCACCATCTTGCCCAGGCTGGTCTCAAACTCCTGAGCTCAAGCGATCTGCTCACCTCGGCCTCTGAAAGTGTTGGGATTACAGGTGTGAGGCACTGTGCGCAGCTACCATTTCACTTATAAGTATGATGTGGGCTGAAAAGTTTCTGTAGGTACTCTGGCAGTTTAAGGAAGTTCTGTATTCCTGTTTTGCTAAGAATTTTGGTCATTAATAGATTTGAATGTTTTTTCAGCTTTCTCCGCACTGAGATAATTACATTATTTTATCCTTCCTTTGTTGCACTAATGAATACTTTACATCGTCTGATTTTCATGTAATACTATCTTGCATTCCTAAAATTATCCCAAACTCATTTATGTTGATTATCCTTTTAAAATATTGGATCTGGGTTTGGCGTAGTGGCTCATGCCTGTAATCCCAGCACTTTGGGAGGCTGAGGCAGGTGGATCACCTGAGGTCAGGAGTTCAAGACCAGCCTGGCCAACGTGACAAACCCCCTCTCTTCTAAAAACACAAAAATTAGCCAGAGTGTCGTTCTGTCACCCAGACTGGAGGGCAATGGCACGATCTCAGCTCACTGCAACCTCCACTTCCCAGGTTCAAGTGATTCTCCTGCCTCAGACACCCGAGTAGCTGGGACTACAGGCACGCGCCACCACACCTGGCTCATTTTTGTATTCTTAGTAGAGACAGGGTTTCACTATGTTGGCCAGGCTGGTCTCGAATTCCTGATCTGCCAGCCTCAGTCTCCCAAAGTGCTGGGATTACAGGCGTAAGCCACTGCACCTGGCCAATTTTAATATTTTTAAATATTTAATATTTTTTTGAGATAGGATCTCACTTTGTCACTCAAGCCGGAGTGCAGTGGCACAAACACGGCTCACTGCAACTTCGACCTCTTGGGCTCAAGCCATCCTCCCACCTCAGCCCCCCAAGTAGCTGGGACTACAGGTGTGCGCCATCACGAATCCAGCTAATTTTTGCTTTTTTTTTTTTTTTCTTGAGACGGAGTCTCACTCTGTCACCCAGGCTGGAGTGCAGTGATGTGATCTCAGCTCACTGCAACTTCCACCTCCTGGGTTCAAGCAATCTCCCTGCCTCAGCCTCCCGAGTAGCTGGGATTACAGGTGCCTGCCACCACGCCCAGCTAATTTTTGTACTTTTTAGCAGAGACAGGATTTTGCCATGTTGGCCAGGCTGGTCTTGAACTCCTGACCTCAGGTGATCTGCCTGCTTTAGCCTCCAAAAGTGCTGGGATTACAGACGTGAGCCACTGCGCCCGGTCAATTTTTGCATTTTTGGTGGAGATGAGGTTTCACTATGGTGCCCAGGCTGGTCTTGAAGTCCTGGGCTCAAGGAATCCTCCTGCCTTGGCCTCCCAAAGTGCTGGGATTACAGGCCTGAGTCACCGTGCCCTGCCAGCCAGTATTTTCAATGTACAAAATTTTTGTTTAAGTTTGTGTTTAGTAATTTCACAATCGTTTAATTTGAATTTCTCAATTCCATTCTGATTTATTTTCCTGACCAATGGGCACATCAGAAAAGTATGTTTTTATTTCCAGACATGTGAGTTTCTACTTCTCTTTTTGTTACTGGTTTCTACCTTAAATTGTATTAGAATCAGAGTACACGGCTGTATGATTTAAATTCTTTGAAATATATTGAGTTGGTTTATGGTCCATTGTCAGTCAATTTTAAACAGGTTCTTTATGTGTTTCAAAAGAAAGTACATTCAGAAGTTTTGGGATTTGACAGGTGGAAGGTGAGGCCAGAAAGGCAGGTCCACTCTATATAACTTCTATTGAAAAAGATCTGCGAGGCCGGGCTCAGTGGCTCACACCTGTAATCCCAGCACTTTGGGAGGCTGAAGTGAGTGGATCACCTGAGGTCAGGAGTTTGAGAACAGCCTGGCCAATATGGTGACACCCTGTCTCTGCTATAAATACAAAAATTAGTCGGGTGTGGTGGTGGGCACCTGTAAGCCCAGCTACTAGGGAGGCTGAGTCAGGAGGATAGCTTGAACCTAGGTTGCGGAGGTTACAGTGAGCCAAGATCATGCCACTGCACTCCAGCCTGGGCAACAGAGCGAGACCCTGTCTAAAAAAAAATATATATATATATATATATGACTAAGTGGACCCATGGACCCATGCAGTCCAAAAACGTTATTGTTCAAGGGTCAACAATAATGACCTGATGTATTTTCTACTTTGTAGAACAACAGATGCTTGTTAAATAATATGTTTATTAAAGCATTATTTCATAATCTTCTGCCTTTCTAGAGGCTTGGTGATGTCCAAGTTCAGCTTTAGGCAACTTCAGTTGCTCTCTCTCTGTCTTCCTGGGTTAAAGAAAAGGATGACTGTAGTTAGGCTATTAAAAATAAAGTAGAGGCTGGGCACGGTGGCTCACGCCTGTAATCCCAGCACTTTGGGAGGCTGAGGCGGGCGGATCATGAGGTCAGGAGATCGAGACCATCCTGGCTAACACGGTGAAACCTCATCTCTACCAAAAATACAAAAAAAATTAGCTGAGTGTGGTGGTGGGCATCTATAGTCCCAGCTACTCGGGAGGCTGAGGCAGGAGAATGGCATGAACCCCGGGAGGCGGCACTTGCAGTGAGCCGAGATCGTGCCACTGCACTCCAGCCTGGGTGACAGAGCGAGACTCCGTCTCAAAAACTAAAATAAAATAAAATTAAAATAAATAAATAAAGTATATTACGTGAATGTAAAAGAACTTCTACAAAAAAAAAAAGTTGTTTGGGGATTCAATTTTTAAAAATACTTCCATTAGGACAAGTGTTAATCATGCTACTCAATCTATTATTATTTTTTTTTGAGACACAGGCTCGCTCCGTCGCCCAGGCTGGAGTGCTGTGGCGCGATCTTGGCTCACTGCAAGCTCCGCCTCCCGGGTTCACGCCATTCTCCTGCCTCAGCCTCCCGAGTAGCTGGGATTACAGGCGCCGGCCACCGCGCCTGGCTAATTTTTTGTATTTTTAGTAGAGACGGGGTTTCACCGTGTTAGCCAGGATGGTCTCGATCTGCTGACCTCGTGATCCGCCCGTCTCGGCCTCCCAAAGTGCTGGGGTTACAGGCGTGAGCCACTGGACCCGGCTCTTTTTTTTTTTTTGAGACGGAGTCTCGCACTGTCACCAGGCTGGAGTGCAGTGGCGCGATCTTGGCTCATGATGTTACTCAGGCTGGTCTCAAACTCCTGACCTCAGGTGATCCACCTGCACCACCACACCTGGCCCTCTTTTGAATTTTTATTTGCAATTTTAGATTTGTCTATTGAAGGTAGCATTGTGTTTGGGTGCATTAGGTCTTCCCAGAAACAGACGATGGGGTTATAGGCTGGCCAAAGTCATTCACGCTTGTACACCCAGCAATTTGGGAGGCTGAGACAGGTGGATCACTTGAGCCCAGGAGTTTGAGACCAGCCTGGGCAACATAGTGAGATCCCATC